AGTGGCGTTGGCAGCAACGGTTTCGGATGCTGGCATCTGCACACTATCTCTTCTCCCCTCCTGTTCTTCGCTTTCAATCTTCCGATAATCTTTCTTCCCCTCCATCTCCCAAACTTCGCATCTCGCCCTAAGCACCTCCAAGAACGCGGCGAACTCTCCCATCTGGCCAGCCCCATCATCTCTCCTTGTATACGAGCTCTTGCTCATACTCCATCCTAACCGGCTAAGGCGTGTAACAGGACGCGAAAACTCCATACCCGCGGCTTTGGCCAGCTCTTCTGGCATGCGGTTGCTGGTCGCAATGAGTACGCCGCCAAGCTGGAAGAACGACGTCATGAGATTGGACAGAATCTTGCTAGCAGCACGATCTGGCAATTGAAACTCGTCCAGGAAGAGGATGGGAGATTTCTCGATAAGGTCGCGTGCCACGAGAAGTAGGGAATACTCATCGTGGGCGGTCCCAGGTCCTACCACTAGTGATCTCGACATCCGCAGCTGCTCCAGACGCGAGATGGTATCGAGCATAAAGGTATTGAAATGCCATCGCCGCTTCTTGCGGTTTGGTAGACAATCTTGGAAGAGATCTATCAGCATACTCTTTCCGGTGCCAACTTCGCCGTGGAGCATGAGGCCTTTGGGACTTTGCAGTTGCATGGCCTCATCGTGGCTAGTCAGAACACGTGTCAATGCTTTGGAGTCTCTTTTGTCTTTTTGCGCAAGTAAAGATGTCCACACGCCCCTTCTACCGAAGCGGTTGACGTGTGAGTCTGTTGATAATGACGATGCATCTTGGCCCACATCGACAGCTCGTGTAAGTTGTTGAAGCCTCTTGGAGTATTCTACAGTCGGTTCATAGTCGATCAACCTGTCATAGAGCTTCTGTAAATGTAATGCTGCGTTCAGTTTTAGTACATGCTCGACGCTAGTGTTGTCTAAATGGTAGACGTCATACCGAGACGATGCTGGGCTGGATCAGGTCGGATCTTCTGTGTAGCAATGAGACTGCGATAGAGCACCAAAGGGTTGGTGATTGTAACACCGGTGGAAGGCATTGGTAGTCATTGGTTGAAGAAACGAAAGTCTATGTGGCAGGATGTTTGAAGTCGACATGACCGAGGTGATCTGCCCCGACTTTCGACTAGACTGCAATCGGCGCTAGCGCTTTTTGGGAAATGCCGATGGATGGGCAGACAACGCGCCATCAAAAGAGGCGAAGTTGAGAAACAGAACAATTATCCCAATAATTGCTATCAACGCCGGCAAGATGCAACATGGTATCGCGCTTAGAGTACAGTTCAGTCAAATGCTTGTAACGCCGGGAGACCACGCATCGGCTATCTTTTTGACCTCTTGGATGAACTTGCGACTTGTGATCTGTGTCGAACCGATCCTGTGCTCGACATTTGCTGTAACTGGGGAATGCTCATCTGGATCGTAGAACCTACACAGTAAAACCAGAGATTAGTATGCATCTTGTTCGCACATGGTCCTGGATCGTCTTACGGGTTCCTCAATAGCTTGATGTAAGCTGTCTGCAACGCCCTGAAAGCCTGATGGGTATTAGAGATTGCCCGAAATATAGAGCTTTGATCGTACAGGTTTCATGTCCGCATCTCGTAGCCCAACAGCAGTCGCGGTCTTGCTGTCGAGAGCTGTAGCTGGCCTGCCTTCCATGTCGACAACGATGACGAACTTGACTCCGGTGTTGGTGAGCCAGCCATACATTGCTAACCTCTCGTCTACAGCTTGAAGAAGTCCAAAATCCTGGTCTGCTGTTTTGTGCGGTAGACGAGCTTCAAAGATATCCAGACATGAGGAAAGAAGGAACTGGAACTCTAGTGGTGCCCTCTCCTCAGCCGGAAAGAGAGAGATATGCAGTGGATTATTCTGTAACAATGGTCAACTCTATCTAGATTGAAATCGTACACCAGGTGTACTCACGTGCTTGCCAATTACGCCTACGCAAGCGATAGAGGGGACCTGAGGACAGTCGTCAGCTCATACTGTAAGTCCTGGAAACTTACGCCCCTTACCCGGCCTGACATTCTGTATACGATATCACCGGTTTAGACGGATCTGGTGGATCTGGGACGTGTATGCGGAGTAGTCTGGCCGACGTAGACCGAAAGGGTGATGGGAGGGAGGCGCGATCGCCGCCTAACCTATCAGATGGCACCAAAATCGACGACTAATCGATTTCCGCCAAGCATTTTGCTGCACCTACCTCATCGATGAACTTCGCGACTCCTCGACCGCCACCCCACATCTTGCCTCTCCACTCCTTCACTTACGCCCTTCCTTCCTGTTCGTCGCAATAATGTTTTCGACAACAAGGTCTGCGGCCTCAATGGCTCTCCGAGGTGTGTCCCCGCCACCCCGAAAGCTCGCAGTCTCCCGGAACTAATAACATGGGCAGCCAAACCCGCGACGGCACTGATGCCATTCCGCGCCGGAAACGCTGCTTTCCTCTCCTCGAGCTCTTCGGACAGGGCTACGACTATGAAAACGCCCGCAACTATCCCCGGCAACCCTGGGACGCCACCCCCGATGAAGTCCGCGCGAGTAGAGGTGCCATTGCCGAGCCAGGAGGGAAAGAAGGGGGCTATGCAATACGCATTGTATGTCATGACTTGCCACCTTTTCTTTGGGGGGAAAGAGACGAGGGCGACGGGAAGGAATGACTGCAGGGGCATACGCTAACGTGCGGTAACAGGACGACACTCGACCAAGTAGCCAACTGGGCCCGTCAGAGTTCCCTATGGCCTATGACTTTTGGTCTCGCATGCTGCGCCGTCGAGATGATGCACTTGTCCACCCCACGATACGATCAGGATCGTCTCGGTATCATTTTCCGTGCCTCGCCCCGACAGTCCGATGTCATGATCGTAGCTGGAACCCTGACAAACAAGATGGCGCCCGCGCTGCGACAGGTCTACGACCAAATGCCTGACCCCCGGTGGGTTATTTCCATGGGCAGCTGCGCAAACGGAGGAGGGTACTACCACTACAGCTACTCGGTCACAAGAGGATGTGACAGGATTGTACCAGTAGACATCTACGTGCCTGGATGCCCTCCCACTGCCGAGGCGCTCATGTACGGAATCTTCCAGCTGCAGAAGAAGATGAGGCATACCAAGATCACCAGGATGTGGTACAGGAAGTAGAGGGTATGGGTTTGTATGGTCTATTTTGATGGTCGTTTTATCTGCGAGTTTGAGGGAGCAGATTCCTCTTGTACAAATCGATCTTCTATATGCATAGTCTATATCAAGTCTAAGGTGTCATGGTGGTGTTACGCCGTTTCGCCAAGTCCAAACATCTTGACCGAATTCTTCCAAGCACTAGACATCTGTCAGCTCCTTCTCATCGCCTGTATTGAGACAAAAAGTGGTGGACTCACGCGTCGCAGACCTCCTCCACGGTAACTTCCTTGATCTTTGCAATCGCATATGCCACGTGTGGTATTGTAGCCGGCTCGTTGCGGCCCTTGACCATCATACCCTTGGCGAACTTCTCCTTCTTGACCGCCTTGGGTAACGGAGGCGCGTCTTGCAAATACTTGGCTGATGCATGACTGGGTCTCATCTCGCACCATGGACCGTCAGTCTCAATCTGCAGGCGCTCAAGCGGTATTTGTTTAACCACCGCGATATTCTCATCAGCTAAGCAACTGAGTTAGTGCTATATTATGTAGATAAGTGTATAGTGTCGGTAACTAAAGCAGTAATGGCTATGGAGTACTTACTTTTCATGCTGCATCCGTTGACTCCAATGTCAAAACCCAAGCCAACAAGACGCTGCATCTCCTCGGCTGTGCCAGTAAAGCTATGAACCAAACCTCGTTTCGGCAGCTGATCCAGTTTCGCGGTCAAGAGCCTCTCAAAGTCTTCGCTCGCGGCTCGCGAATGTAGAAACAGTGGTAGCTGGACCTCAATTGCAATCGCCAGCTGTGCCTCAAAGTACTTCAACTGTGGCTCCTTTGGCGTTAGAAACAGGCGGTCATAATCAAGACCTATCTCTCCAAAAGCAACTGCATATCCTGCTTCCTTGGCCTCAAGCGCAAGGGTTTTCAGCGCAGAGAGCAGTTCAGACGAGCCTCCAGGGTGCGTGTCGAACTGTTTTGCTGAGCAAGGATGTACACCAACCGTCGCATAGCACAGCCCTGGGTGCGCTTTCGCTATCTCGACAGCATGTTTGGATTCCTCGAGATCGGAACCTGTTACCATGAACTTCTTGCATCCAGCATCGACGGCTCGCTGTATGACGTCTTCGAAATCATCTTCGTGACGCTTAGTGCCGTGATATTCACCACGGTATATCGGATCCGTGAAGTTGATACCGATCTAGGGCAGATTAGACGTAGGATATGGCGGGAAAGTGAGATGCGAACCAACATCGATGTACTTGAGTTGAGGGGCTTCCGTCGTCATCTTGATGGTTTCGGATGGTTTTTGATACGTAAAGGAGGTACTGTCTGATATCGATGTCGGTCTTGTAAGCATCTCGAGGTCAGTAAAGAATTAGAGTAATGACGCACGTGTAAAATTGCTCAACAGGGGTGGGATGAAGCTAGAAGGACGCAGTATAGGACATCGACTCGAGGTATGAACTGAAGCACGATATCTCAAGGCTTGCATAGGCTTCAGTAACATGAATGAAACTGGTAGATGGAATATGATGCTCACTGGTTGATCGTTGCTACCTCAAGCATATGTGACTAAGCCGTTTTAGGTTTAGGTTCGATGCTGGCATCTCTCGCACAGCCACTCTCTTTCACGACTGCATCTCTTTGCGCATCCAGTCATCACTGTAAATCAGGCAGCATCTTGTATCAATACTGAACGGTCACCCAGGGACATCCACGCAAGAGGCAAACCAACAAAGCTAGGCTTAGTCTCGTGAGTAGCCAGCTGCACTCGGCGTCACTCGAGACACTTTCGTGCACTTGCGCGCTTCCTTAGGTGTTGTGTAAAGCACCTGAGAACGCAATCGATACAACAATGGAGAATTTATGGCATCTTCGTCGCGTGGCGGATAACGCTGCAAAGGCCTGTTGGATATGCTACAAGCCATCCACCAGTGTACTTGTTACCCCTAATAACAAGGTATGGAGGGTTGACCTGATAGGCTGTAATACTCTGTGCTAACTCACTAAAAGGATTTCTTTTACATCTGTCCTGGGCACTTATCTGACAAAGGCTTTTGTCAACCAGAAGCTGATGAAGCAAAGAGGATCGCAGACCAGAAGAAGCAAGATGAGCTGGATCGCGAGATTGAGGCTGTAAAAAAAGAATATGAGGAGAAGCAGAAGCTCAAGCGTGAGAAGCGAAAAGGAAAAGATAAGGACAAGGATAAAGAGAAGGAGAAGGAGACCAAGGGCAAAGAAGAAGAAGAGGACAAACAGGACGAGAAGGCCAAAGATGACAAAGCATGTAGCATATGGTATACCTTGCTGGCTGGGCTAACTTAAATGTAGATCAAAGAGCTCTCGAAGACCAAAGATCAAAATCAGGCTGAGCTTGGTCCTCGCATATATCAGCTCAACAAGTAAGGCCACTCCTACAGACTCTTTATTTGAGTTAGGCATGTTGACTTTGCACAGAAACTTCTATCAAATGCGCCTGGACAAGCTGCGGAATGCTGAGATTGCTAAACGAAACCGCGAACGACTGAACAACCCTGCAAACTTTCCATCAGTACCTAGCGGGAATCCGTAGGCGCATGACATGCCCCAACATCGACAATGGTTGTAGCCATGGACCAGTGACTGCTCCCGTCACTCCAAGGGCTTCTTCTTCTTCCCTCACTTAGAAGCAGGCGGCAATTACTTAGGCGAGCGGTAACGGGACTTACGACCGCCGACTATACATCCTTCGAAAACAACGCAGTCAGCATTTAGCGGCCGGTTCAAAGCCCATGCTTACTGAATGTCATACGTGTCACACATGGCCATCCTGTTTATAGTTATGTCCGAACTAAGTCCTAGGCACTTTGGTACCCTTTGACAAAGGACATCGTTCACTAACAGCCTAACCGACATGTTCGAATGCCTTGACCCGCTAAATGAATACTCCTCTCGCTAAGTGCACTCAAATTCTGCAGACATGCTCGTAGAATTCACCTGAGGACAGCTTGCTTGTGTAAACTGTTGCGAGAGTGGCTTGGAAGCTTATATTGCTGCAGCAGTTCCCCTACCGATCCACAGGTCTGTGTTATGCAAGACCATATGGTCGATTCCAACTTTTCCTATTCGGACTGGAAACCTTTTGTACTCCGTTTTGATCAAGGCCTCAAGGACGGATTAGGCCATATGGCTGTTGCATTCGGTATGATTGTGAGTGAGTCATTTAGTGGACTACCCGGTTGGCCTATTACGGCCATAGTCGTTCTCACCTGCGGGGTTCTGAGCACCTTGGTCTGTCCCAGAGTTACTTAAGGATATGTAGCAAGCTGCGGTACTTCGCAAGTTTGGTGCAGCAGTGAGCCATTAGCCATCTTGACCGTCTCCGAGATCGGCCTTTGCTGGAACAAGTACGGATATATCGCTGCATCGCTAAGCAGGCTTAGCCAAGGATACTCTGTGCCGCAATCGATGACTCAGAAGATAACTTCACCCTAGTGACAGTGTGAATGCTCTCTACGGAATGGACTGGAATAGGTCCACACCTCGTTGTTCAACATCGTAGCGCATCCTACCTTCTCGCCCTCTCGCTTATCTGTACATACCATTTGTCACTATATCGCACATACTGAGTCATCCCATACGCGTGCCAACGACATCGATAAGCATCTTGGCAATGTACTATCTAAGGAAAGATGCCCTTTCAACAACGATCACTGTACCAAGGATCGCAGCAGGCTGGTGACTTGGGTGCACATGCAACCAGGAAAATGCCCAACAGTATGTCTTTCGAAAGGAAGGTATTCCTACAGAGGCTTACAGTCATCTGTGATCTTCCAACGTACTAAGCTTCCGAAGCGCTGATGCTGTTCATGCTTGATACTTGCAGCCAGACATCGATGCTCTTCTGTGGATCTGTCACCACACCATTCGACCTTTTCATATCTACCACTGAGTCGATATCTAATCTCTCTGCACTACCTGTAGCTCCACGCTCATACAGCGGCACAGGCCGTCTAGCGGCCGCCACTAAACCCGCCCTACGATCAGTCTGCTCCTCGTGATGCTGATGGTCAGCATTCTCGGGTAATCAGGCGAACAACACGTCAAACCTTGTTCCGAAGGACCGACTAAACAGCAAGCCTCGCTACAGACCTGGGCGCGTCAGCATCGTCCCGCGCATGTACACGGACACCGCGACACATAATGACACTTACCGCATCACATGCATGCAAGCGGCTTCACATATTCGCTCCATAACCTAGTTAACTTGACATATCGTGTATACTGTAATCGCTTACATGTCCCCGCATGTATGATCATAACAGCGCACCTTCTAATTGTAGCATAGTTAGTTAGATGCGTAAAGAGCAAGGCCGATAAGCATCTTGTGACACCTGCCCACCTCAAGCCTCACCACAGGGAAATTTCACGATTCTGCAGCCACATCGTCTCTGGGTCACCGGGTCTCCACTGTTGCTGCGGTTCAGGCGTCCAAGGGAAAAGCTTTTGCGAGACCGATCTTGCGGCCGGGTCAATGTCAGCGTCAGCACTCGCCTGAAGGCAGTACTTTGTGTGCACAGTGCCTTCGAATACAGCAGCCGCTTACCTTCAGTTCTCATTGGTTGTATTGCAACATGTCAACTGCCACGCTGTGTCTTCGCAGATCTCACCGACCCTAGTACTGAGGAGTAATATGTGCACCCAAAACTGAGATTTAGATCTTGCTAACAAGCGTCGATCTGAACTTCTGTACACCGTTCACGACGGTTTGTGTCGGGGCTTTCTGATTTCAGTGCGACGTGCAGATTGTGGTGCGGTCATCAACTTTAGAGAATGCTGCTAAGAGAGTTGTAGCACATACCGAAGCAACTTCACAAGCGTAAAACAATATTACCTGATAGGATTCCATCCAAGGAAGGTTCTTTGGTCAATGGTCCAAGACACGGTTCTGGAAGTAGGTGTGCAAGTCTTAAAACTCCCTCGCTCGTCAAGATGAACGTACATTTGCTTCCCTTCGAAGATTGTTTATCCGTCGTTACGTCTCTTCTGTCTACCTCACTCTTTATCACAAAAGACCTACTCATGACCATATCCATAATTACAACCATCATAACCCACTCCAAACAATGCACCGTCATCGACCAATCATCAAAAACATGACAATATACGGTAGTCGGCGATTACACCCCAATCTAGTGCTCACTGCTCACTGCTCACCCCAACCCACGTGAGCTCAACCTCTTTCGAAACAACTTTCCCCACGTTTCGCATGTTTTGTGTTATGTCAGATTACAGATACCATCGCGTGCCGCGCCGAAACGAGAGATTTTCTGTGGGGTCGGAGAAATTAACATAAACGTAAGAAGGGGCTACACCGAGTTCTGCGTCAGCGCTACTGGAGGGCGCATATTTGTGTTTTTTGCCAGTGATGACCTGATATGCGTGCTGATGGTTTCTCGAGGACTCGTTGCGCTCAGACTGTCGTGTATGTGAGTTTGTGTGCATGTTGCTAAGATAGATTGCATACCAGCAGCTTAGGATCTGGAAATAGTGCCACTCTTCGATTGCGTCTCCTTGGAGGATTCAGGTCGCCATATGCTCAGTGAAACGGTGATTCCAGATGAGGTGAATTGGGTGAAACCGTAGTAAGGATGCATAACTGGGAGCTGAAATGATGGATTATCAAATTTGTCCTGGTGTTCTGTATCCGTGCACAAATCGAAAGTTATCGTCTTCTAGGATGCATGCCCATCGTCGTTCTTCCATGCTGCTCATACAATCTCAATGCATTGCACATACGCGCGAGCAGAACATGGTGTTAGCGATGGCTTTTTGTACGTGTCATGTGCTCGAACGAAGTAACGTCATCGCCTCCGAGGTATACATGAGTTTCGGAGATAACGCCACAAAAACATCCGTTTGCTGACGGTATACGTACGCGTGTGCTTTCGCTCATGCCATTACCTAGTCCACATGTACGTGCTTTGAAGCAGAGTGACAAGGCCATTTGTGGACATCAATCTTCAGTGTTATGGCTGACGTGAAGCTACGCATACTCTTGTTTCTGAAGACAGTCAAGCATGTTGATGTTAAAGGGCTGACAAGCGTTCGCTGATGTTTGTGGCGCTCGTGTATGGTATGCCAAGGCTCAAGGCTCAACGCCGACTCCCAGCCGAACAATGTTTGCTGCTGGCTGTGCGGCAGCAAGAAAACTCTTTTGCATCATCGCCGATGTCAGAGCAATTGGAACCGCTGTATGGTTCGCGCCTCAGACGGGTATCAGAGGCCGAGACGCGACGATTGCGCTCGCCAAGACAGGGTATTTGGTGTTACGTTCGGCCTCGCCGGAAAGGATTCAGGTCAATGAAACATTTGAGAAGTGTTCTTAATGCATTGACATGACACACATGCTGTGTAATAGGTCGAAAGACTACATGGATGTCTTCGCTTCAAACAATGATTCTGGACATCCTGTCGTATCAACGCCCGTTGAATGGATAAAACATCCTTGAAATGCAACAAATTTGCCGCTCAGTGGCACCAGAAGTCTCTGGGCCGCGTAACAAGATCTCTGCTATATGAGACCAAATGCCGTCATCAGTGTCGTTATGCCCAAACGCACGGGCTTCGCCGCCAAGGGCTATAGAAAAATTGCAAAGCTGTCTGCAGGTGTGGAAACTTTTCGTCAGAAGGGGCGATATCTGAAAACGCCGCTCTATAGGACAAGTACTAATGCAAAGAAAGTGCTAATGCCGGCTCCGACCGGACTCTGTTGCTGAAGGGTATGTTTCGATGTGTAAAAGCCGCTCGGATTAGATGGGGTTGTTGCTGCGGGTTCAGAAAATCTTCAATATCCAATGGCGCTGTAGGTGGCCCACATGAATTATATCGCGTCTTTCGAAATCATGCTTCGTCATGTGCTTCGTTAATGACACCGGGCTTAGGTGCGAGACTTGAGGGGCCGGAGATAGATCCCATAGAGCCAACACGCTCCTGTGGTGGCGGTTCGTCTCTCATGCATGCATTCTCAAGCATGTTCGTCCATTTTCCACTGGTTCCGGCATGACTATGCTTCAAGTGTTGTCTGAAGTGGTCTGCGCGGAAAAACTTCTTGGCTTGGTTGCATTCCCCAAACTTATGCACATGATTCAGATGCTCAGATCGTGCTTCCCAATCCGCAGGATTGGAGAACTCTTCACCGCAATAACCGCAAACGTCTGCCACGTTCGGACGAGTAGGGGAGGGATGAAAAGCTGCATGAACACCGGCAAGCGTGGCGCATGACCAAGAATGTCGACGTAAATGAAGAGAGTTCTGATGGCGCTCGGCTTCGTTCTTATTCTTGAAACGATTGGGACAGTACTGGCAAATGTACTGCTTCTCTAGCTCGTGTGCTCTGTTGCTGGGGTCAGCGTGGTCGCTCAATGGTGGACAGACCAAATGGCGGTGGGCAAGCGAGAATCCATGCACTTACCTCAACTCATCTTCGCTGTCGAATTTCTTGGGCTTCTTGGGACAGCATTCGCAGATGTAAGCTCCTGGTATACGATTTGCGATTGAATTCTGTCGCGAGTGCAACATGCTTTCCGTTGACATTTTTCGTATCTGCGGATGCTCGGACTCCGAGAAGCCTCGCTGATGCGGAGGTCGTGACAACGACCCGTGGGGGCTAGGGTCCAATGACCTATTAGCTGCATATGGCGAGACGGGGCCTAACTCTGTTTCGCCCAAAGGCGACAACGCACTGGGTGAAACGCGCTGATCTCCGCAATAACTTGCCATACTGCTTGGAGCGGTTGAAAACCCGAAAGAAGAGCCGATCGAACCGCTGCGTTGACTTACGGACCCAGTCGAAGATAGCGAGTTTGAATTTGACTGAAAACGGGAAGCTGCGCAATTCCGATTAACCAGCATTTGCTGAGAGCGGCGGTGGTAGAGATCATTATGGCCGCTTGGGACGGGTCGATCGTCGCGCGCGGCTTCAGAGGGCGGCGACGAGGCCCGCCGTTTTAGGCCACCCTTAGGGCCTAACTGATAGTCCTCTGACTCGGCAGGGCTACGTTCGTTGATGTTCAGATCACGCATTCCATTTTCTTCCATGCCACCAAACTCGGGATCCGAGAATATGCTGTGGTCGTAGCTACCGCGGTGCTGAGAAGATGTCTCGTCTAAAGGGCCTGGAGTTGAGATGCTTCCGTAGCGTGCCCTTTGTGATTCTGTTGAATCGAATCCTGGACTACGCCAGCCGTTGTAACTCGGTGATATAGTAGGTACAGTCAATGGTTTTAGTTGACCGCTGAGCTTGTGAGAAGGGACGTGTGTATCGGAAGCGGCGGGGTCGTGAGTGCTGGCAGAGGAGATGGATGACGCGGTTGTTCGTGTGGGTGTATTCGGGCCGCCGATCTTCGAGAGTAGTTGCTTATCGTAGGCATGCGATGAATTCTGCACGGCTTTGTGACCGAGTTGTCGTTCGCTCGTGAGTCTATGGCACATTGTCAGTCACTAGAGAGCAAACGACACAACGCCAGATTTGTAGGCACAAAGAATGCAGTCAACCCTTGACAAGTCCTGAACCAATTGACATGCACGGGAATCCTCCAAACGACAAGGATTTGTCAGTGAAGCAGTGACACGGCATCTCGACCAAAGATAAACAAGCGCTGCCGAACCTTGCCAGAACCCTAACACGTCTTGCTCTTTGAGATGAGGGGAGGTATAACAGAGTGTTCCGTACCTGTGGTTCTTGAGAGATGGCCGAGCTTTGTTACTACGGTCGTCCTCACTGGTGTTGCTGTGTTCGCTCATGCCGTCGACGGATCTAGAGACGGAAGGTTCGCGGGCAGGGCTGAACATATCGACCGAAGGCTCCCGCGGATAGCTGCCTGTGGCTCCACCGTACAAGCTCGAGCCAGGTCTAACTGTCGCGAGCCGATTTCCGCCAAAGCCGGTATCCCTTGGGCTGTTTGTGTTACCCCATTGCCAACCAGGGTCTCTTCCACTGAGGTCGATATGACGTGGAGGAGGCAAGGGTGGTGGTGCCTCTTCGCGTGCCTATAAAATTTTGGTACAGTCAGTGAACCATTCGTATAGCGTGTTCAGTCCCGGATGAGGCTGGAGCACTTTGTGACTCTTTCAGGAGCTATATCTCGCGTGACCGAGCCACAAGCTGCTCCAGACCGCCCGTTATATATTCACCAGCTGGAACACGAGCTTACATACTCTCGGTATGGCCATTGCGACAGCCGGGGTGGGTATCGACGGTCGGCGGTGGTGTGGTAGTTGGTAGTGGTGAGAATCACGCTGAGAATCATATACGCGAATACTCGGTGTGGAGGACATGGCTCGTAGGGAAGATGAGGTCGCCGGGAGCGCGCCACTAGGGTGCAGCTGAAGCGTACTCGCGCAGCACGCGAGCACCGCGAATGTGGCGAGCGCGACAAGCAAGAAGAGTGAGTATGGTCGCTACTGGATAGTGTATGCGAGCACGGACCTAGAGGTAGAATCGTTAGCCCGAAACGACACGGACTGGCCGAGACAGGCAGGGGAGGACAGAGTGAAGGCGTGCAGACGTAGCTGAACTCTAAAAACTACGTACTAAACAGCATGCGACGTACCTTTGCGGTCTTGTGGGACTTACGCGTCGTTGGGATGGATTCTCGACGGCGAGGCTTACAAAAGCGAAAGCGGGGGCGCTAGCGCTTGCGGCTGTTAAATGTTCAGCCCTACGAGCGAGAGGGTCCTTCAGCTGAACGGAAGGGTTCTGGCCAGCACCGCCACAAAAATGATATTGCTTCTTTTCGCCCGGGACTAGTCGTCATAAAATCAGTATGGTGCGAGCAATGCAACGAGTGAAGTCGTCAGGTCGTTCGGAAGAGGCCTGTTCCTGCTACACGGCAGCGGACAAGACGACGCGGGACTGCGGTAGGGCCCTTAGCGTGAAGGCGGGTGGAGTAAAAGGGAGAAGGAAGCGTCCCTCGGCGTCCAGTGATCCGGAGAGGCAGAGAATCTGCAGGACAGAGGCACCGCTGGATAGCAGCAGCAGCAACAGCAACAGCAACAGACGGAGCAGAAGAAACGCCCTCCACCGGGGAGTGCGGTTAGCATAAAGCACTACGCTGGATGAGCTTGAATGTCGGTGATTGGTTATGCCTGGTTGCTCCTGGCACGGAGCGCAGTGGAGACCTCAGCAGGGGTAGATGCAACCCTTTAGTCGGTCGGAGCAGAGCTCTGGCTTTCGAGAAGCTTCAAGGTCCACGCCCCGACCCTCATCTCGTGCATAGGGCTCGCCATTAGCGCTGGCAGGTCGACTCGCAGTAGATTGCTCGTGACGGCAGACGACTCCCAGCAGCGTGGGATAGAGCTCAGTCGGACCAAGAAAGATCAATCGAGGATTGGCGCCCGCTCGTCCAGCTGCCCTGTGTGCCGATTATTACGCAAACCAAGTAGAGCCGATCTGCCAGGACGTCAGGCCGGTGCAACGGTGAGATGGCTGGTAGGGCAGGCTTGGAAGGCATGCCGACGGCGTGGGCGCGCTGGCTGACGAGGGTTGCATGCCTGGAATCTGACCAAATTGTCCAACAATGCAGCGTTGCGCTTCGCCTCGATGGGGATTGGGGGGAGAGGTGCAGACGGCACAGCGTCAGATTCAACCGTGTGTGGGTTAGACTTGAGTGCGGGTAGCGGAAGTCAGTGCGCACGGATGCCTGAGGAGTTCCAACAGAGCAAGCTCCTTGCAGCCTTACAAGCGCCATCGATTGCACCATCAACTGTAGTCACCCATCATCAGTCAGGCTGAGACGGCCACGGCTGTTCTCCCATGCCACGCTGATCTGCTGATCGCTATCGCGGCGGGAAGCTGGCCTGCCCTACACACTGCCTAGGTATACCTGCATCCTGAGCGGCAAGCCCTCCGCCATCAAATCGAATCCACGGCGGGGCGTACACGCTATGCACACAGTGCACTATCTCCGGCAGCCAATGCGACACAGGCTGCCTGTCTGAGATGTCGCATTCCCTGCTCCCTGACATGGTATTTTTGGCAACTACACGTTGTACAGACCAAAAAAACACCTCCCTCCATCTGCTCCTACACATGTTTCCCATGGGGCTGTGTCCATGGTCCATTCCAGGGTACCTCGTGCTGTCACGAGCGGCAACTTGCAGACGACATGAGTATTACTCCGGGGTATCGGATTGGGGCCGAACCTACACCTGCGAGGCCAACAGTGGTACCTACATGGTACGTTGCTTTTTCACCGGCAGGTGGGTCCATGCTTTGTGGTCAGGTAAGCGGTCGTTCAGCCACTTTGAGACAGCGCGAACCAGCAAGTCTTGGGTGATGTCAGCGACTTCTCCATCTAGTCGGCGATATGGAAAGCACGGAAATTTGCAACTACCGCGTCTCTACCCGTTTTCCAAAGCATTGATGCGCTTCGCCGAGATGCGGGACGAGGCGCCATCATAGCCTTGCAAGCAACCGGGGAGTACGAGCAATTCGCTATTTCTGGCTGTCGGTAACGACTGCAATATTGCTTGTCTCACGATGGAAGCAACACCACACCACTGACACGAGACAAGATATGGCTCTCATCGACCGCTGTCCAGATTCATGGCTGCCCGGGCAACCTCGACATCTTTGGGGCGCAGCAACGGACGGCCTCGGGAACTCTTCGTACAACTGGAATTCCTCGATTCAAACTATAAACTCACCCATGTTAATTGTATGCAGTCCCTGATCCATAGTGTGTAGCTCCGCGGTCTTGCGGAAAATACCGCTTACTGCAACGACACATGACTCTCTTGATGACAGTTCCTATTGCAAAGGGTCTCACTAGGAACTATCAACTACGGGGCAGCACGGGCGGGCAAGGAAGATAGTGTGTGTAGCTATAAGGCTACGAACTGCTAGCTCCATGATGTCTCCAAAGCTCATGGTACTCTCTCTGTGACTCTTGGCCGCAACCTTGGGTAGAGTCACACCCGTCAATCCAATAATTCTGAAGGTGAAGAATGCTCGGCAGCTGCTCGAACGCGCTGCATTTTTTCGTCTTTGCCGATATAACAAACTCGATGACAGATGTCATTACTGATGGTCCGCAATTTTGGCGGGCACGCGCGATCAGAAACCCTCGGTCAAAATTAGACCATCTCTCTCACACCTTCAACAACGCGCGCTTCTTCTAGGATTGTTGATCACCGTACACTCATCTCCGGCGTCCGATTGTTCTCGGGGACCTCATTTCGCCTATCATGGCGCTCATCGACAGAGTCCCTGGAGACTTGAACCTGTATATCGGTGGGTACGTAATGTCGACTATCGTTTCGCATCTGCCCCATGGCTCAGGTCTGGGGTCACCGGACTACTGTCTAACCATCGCTGCATAGCATGTTCACTCTGCGACGGCGCGAGGCCCTCCAGCAAGCCAATATTACGCACGTCTTGTCGGTCCTGCGCACACCACTAGATCAAGACTTGTTCGGCCCCTTCAAGCACATGGTGGTGGAGGTGGACGATGTCGAAGACGAAAATCTATTGGAGCATTTCCCTGCCACAAATCGCTTCATACGGGAGGGGCTTAAGGGAGGTGGCGGAGTCTTGGTGCATTGGTAAGTCAACATCCTGGTCAAGCTGAAGCCTTGCATATCCAACAACTTTGGATCGCCGCCGACGATTGCCTTGCTTGGCAGTTTTGCCATCTTCACAAACGACAACAGCCCCAAGGCCTCGTCACTGGTATGCAATGCATGCAGCTCAATTTTGCTTTCCGCGCGTCCTGCATCGTGTTTTTCGTCTTTTCTCGCCTTCCGTTTTCTGTGATCCTCTCCCGATACACACCGCCCAGTTGCCACTCTATTTGTTCTCAGCCACTCGTATCAATATGCCAACCACAACCTCTTCTCTAGTGCTATGGGCAAGTCACGATCGGCTACCGTCGTCATCGCTTATTTGATGCAAGAGCACAACATCAGCCCGTCGGAGGCTTTGTCGCACGTTCGGCAAGCGCGATCCATCTGCGAACCAAACGAGGGCTTCATGAAACAACTGGAGCTATACGGTGAGATGCAGACACCTGAAAACGTCGAAGATACCCCGGCCTATCAACGATGGGTTTACCAACGGGAAATCGAGCTGAGCCGCGCGTGTGGCCAAGCTCCAGAGGCGGACAAGATTCGCTTCGAAGACGAACATGTCGCCGACGAATCTTCCGGTTTCGAATTGAGATGTCGTAAATGCAGGTAAGTGGAGTTGTGGCAAGACGTGACTGATGTCACCATACAGCTTGTTGCCGCCTATCTTGCTCAGCGCTTACAAAGTTTCAGACGAGCATTAGCGACGTCACAATATCTACTACTCCATGGGTCCACCCCATCTGTCAGCGACCAGAACGCAGAAGCTCAAAAAGCTCCATCGCAGAACTGTGCCCACTACTTCCTAGATCCCCTGTCGTGGATGCGCCCGGAGCTCGAACAAGGCAAGTTGGAAGGGCGTCTGGAGTGTCCAAAGTGCCACACCAACGTAGGCAAGTATGCCTGGCAGGGGATGCAGTGTAGTTGTGGAGAGTGGGTCGTCCCTGGTATCAGCCTTTCCAAAGGTCGAATCGATGAAGCAAGGAAAGCAAACTTTGGCATCCGGCGTCCACCGGGAGCTTCAGGTCCGCCTCCGTTAGGGAACCTATAAGATCTCTGAAAGATGTTGCTATACATCAGTTCGGCGAGGAAAAGACAGCTCACATTTAGCTCCTTCGGTGGCCTGTGCCCTATCAAACCCCCAAGAAGGACATATCTCCGATCCACTCGGTCACTTCATCACCACAGAGAAGATGGTAAAGATGGTAAAGAATGCTCTCAGCTCGGGGACACTACAGGTCGACGTGTAACCACATGATGGGACAGTAAGCTCAATCGATCTCTGTATCGGCTACCAATCTATCTATCTCACTCCTATCGCTACTAAATCTACGATGAAGATTACGGGTACGTCGCCCGAATGGCATCTGTGTGCAACAAAGCTAGCGAACAGACAGACAGTACTAAGCCGTATATGCCTTTGCTCTATACGTTAGTTCCCGTAGCCTCCAGCCAAGCAATCTAGACTACGCCCATGGCTAGCCTACCGGTCTTCTGAAACCGCACGGCTATTCAAGCTGAACAAATTTCCTTGCTGATATGACCCACTCAGTCCGTGGCAATGTCTTGCGGCTTAAGCCGTCTGTCACTTGATAATGACCGCTTCCAACGTCGATTGAGACACTATTACAATCACAAAGTGGGTTGTACGCAGACGAATAAGTAGAGGTGATTGAAGTGTAGAAAAAGTCATATGCATTGATTTGAGCAATCAAAACGCCTGAAATAGTGTACGTTGTAACTCGAAGAACGATGGACCAAGAGTGACTCGTGTATGCTCATAACCCGTAACCCTATCCCCGACCTGAAGCAATGAACACCACAGCGCCATGCAGTAAACGACAGTATGTCAATATAGTACTAAGAAACGAACAGGCTGCGTGTCCGAGCCAAGAAGAATAAAAAGAAACGAAAACGCCAGTGATCGTCCCTACGCACCAGCATTACAGCTTCCCTGTTATTACCCGTCTATCTTACACAGAAGAATCAGAGCTCGTCGAGGCGACAGCCTCGCTATCAGCACTCGAGCTCCTGGTCAATTCTTCGCCTCCTTCAAGGCCTAGCCTCTCCATCTCCTCGGCAATCTCCTCATACCACTTGCCATGGCATTTGCGGTCCACTTCACCAACTTTGCCAAGCTGTTCACAGATATCCGCGACTTGAGACACGAACTCTGGCAGACCAGTAGTAGCAAGTCCTTCGGTGGCGGTGCTAGCAGCTTTGACGCGCTCGCCAGAACTGCTGGCGCTTACCCGGTTGAAGATGTGAGTCTTGAGTCTTTGGAACAAGACCTTCATCACAGGGTCGGATAGCTTGCCAGCTTCAGCTTGCGTAAGAAGACGCGTGATCGTGGAGGAGAGCTGGGAGCGCGTTGACGGTGGCATGTTGCGAGACGACTCAAGAAGAGAAGAAATCTTCGAGGGAGTAGAAGGGTCTGACATGTATCCGTTCTCCTTCAGCACCAACCACATTTTGTTGGCTTCAGACTTCCACTGTGCGCGCACGTCGCGTTTGAGTAGATTCTTTGCCGTAAGCAAGATACCCCCGATCGTTGTTATGCGAAGTGCGTCCTCGCGAATGCGGGAGATGCGTGCACGATCTAGTTCGAGCGTCTCCGGCAGCTCAGAGCTTCGCAGTGGCGGCGTAGCGATTGCGAGGTCGACAAGACCACGAGCGTAAATCTTGTGCGCTGTAGGGCGATTGATGGGGTTTGCCTGACTCCAAGGGTCACGACGGTCAGCTTCGGTATGCATGTTGACTGCTGCGCTGCGCCACCATCTGCGTGTGCGGTCGAGAGTAAGGTTGTTTTCCTCCAGATCCTGAGTGAACATGCGTTGCTCGTACCCAACAGCCTCTTTGATGAGTGTCGGTGCGGCGTTCATCAATAGGAAGTTTGAATAGTCCAAGGACAAAAGATCGATGATATGAAGGACCTTGAAGAGCTTCTCGATCATGCTTGAAAGTTCACCTTCCTCTTGCAGCTCCTCAGCAAGCAACTGAACTTCGGTGTCTCGAAAGGGTGCGCAAAGCTTTGGAAGAATGCTAGCAATAAAATCAAAGAATTTCTCATAAGAGAAGACACCTTGACTGCACTGCCTGCTGATATGCTCCGGATCTAGAGTCTCGGAAATGAGTGTGTGCATTGAGTTGCCAGGTTTCAGAAGCCGCAGCAGCTTTCCCCGTATGTTCTCCGCCATGGCAGCAGTCCAGTTTGTGCTGTCACCCTCTTCAAACCCTCGCCGCATTGCGTCGCAGAGCTCACGGTTGAGAGCATCGCGCAAGTCAGCCGTCGGCGAAGGATCGATGCGGTAGTCTTTGTCAATAGAGAGTTCGTGAACCAGAATGCGATTATCGGGCACGACAGTGAAGACCTTGGACAGCGACTGTGCCTGGTGGCCCTGAGCAGTGGAATCTTGGAGCCCAGATTGTCCAGAAGCTGCAAGCTCTGAAGCAGCTTCAGCCTGCTTGGCCGCACTATCGGCTGATAGCGGAGATTCTGGTGTTGAGTCGCTTGCAACACGCGGTCGTACAGTGTCTCCTGCGAGCCTCTTCTTTGGCCTTGACCTTCGGCTTTCGCGTATGGCCTTCCTGATCAAGGTAAGAGCCTTGTCAGGCCCCGCCAACTTCTTGATTTTACTAAGTAGAATAGCCTGGTTGTCTCTGATGCCATTCCTGTACTCGTTTGCAACCTCATCGACCGTCGCATCTTTGACACTTTGCCATATTTCGTCGAGGCTAACAAACGAAGCTACCATTGTTTCGATAAGCGCGGAGGAGTCGCGGGCTTTCCAGTCATTGAAAGCGGTAACAAACGCGCCATGAGCGAGCAGTACAGTTTCTGTACGCGTGGGTGAGGGGGTGTACGAGTTGAGCTTTGTTAGTTTTGCCAGAGCAGACTCGAAGCTGATGACGAGGTCCTTGGCTTTGGTAATGAGATCCTGTTCCTGATCGCCGTCTCGACTGAAAACATGTGTGGGATGTCCAAGGATGAGGTACGCGGAGAGGAAGGTTCTGACGGCAGCGCTACGGGAGGCTGGATCTGCGTCTGGAAGTAGCACGAACAGTGTCATGATTCTATCGGTGGTCCTGAGCAGCTTCTCATCTGCGAGCATGCCAGTAATAACTTCGAAACTGGTCTCTTGGACCATCTCGATGGATAGACCGAGCTGGAGCCATTCGGTGACAATACTGCTCCTAACTTTGCCTCTCCAGGCAGCCTGGATCCTCTTGGCAGCATCTTCCGTCGACACGATGGGGCGCTCGGTCCGTATCTTGATATCAGCGGGGGGCGAGCTTGCGGTCCGTGGTCGTCTGGGGTTGCGCTTGTACTCCAGTCTGCGTTTCTCAGCTTCTGCTAGCTTCTCCTCCATCTCGGTGCGGTATCGTCGTTCCTCGGCGGCCTTGCGCTCTTTCATGTCTTCGGCAATCTTCTTGGCCCTCCTCACTTCCTCAGCACAGGAAGCGGCTACTTGTGCCAGATGTTTCTCACGAGCCTGCTGTGCTGCCAACGCCCTCTCTTCACTGTTGGAACCACGTGGGGTAGCCTTGGCCAGGGCAGCACGTAGCCTGACCTGCTCGGCATGCGCTGCCCGGTCTGCTAGCCTTGCCTTGCGATCTTCGAGTATAGAGGCACGGCGGAGATGCTGGGCTACATGGTGGCTCTGACAGCTGTTGCGGAACGAGCGATTGGACGTGTGCGAATGTGTCGAGGACAGCGAGTTTCGGCGGGACGAGGTGGCCGAAGACTTGCGACGGTTGCTTGTATGGCGATAGAAGCGGGCAGCGATCCGTGGTGGTGGAGCAAACGCCTGGCCGTTCTCGGCGTCTGATGAGAGGATCATGTCGGGCTCCTCGGGGATATCGTCGTTCTCCCGCTGCAGCTGCGAGCTGACCAGCTCCAGTTCCGAGTCGGTGAGCGACATGGTGTAGGGATGCGAAGACGCCCTCTGGCTCAGGAGTGAGCGTGTTTCCTGAGATGTGAAACAAAGCACGGTCTTGGTGGTGCTTTTTTAGAGTAACCAGACGCAAGCGGACGGGCTATCTATAGCAATGGCGACTATTCTGGCCCAAGGGCAAAAGGCATGTACAGGAACGAAAGGCTGCACAAGTCCGTGGGGAGCGTGGTCAGCCGACGACTTGTATTGATGGATGGCTTGGTTGATTGATAAGCTGTAACGCCCTAACAGCGCCAGACGATGGCGGGCACCGTGCGCGATGTCTACACAGTCGTTATGGTAGTCGGGCAAGTGTGCGCGACGGCATCTGTCGCATGCAGAAGGTCTAGTCGATGGCTGGGGAGCGCATGACGATGCACCTGCGCATGCTGACCGGTCGACGCCAAGACCTCGACGCGGAAGCTAAAGAAGTCCATCGAAGATCGTCGACTCCGAACTGTTCATGTTTCTCTTTCATCACTGTACCAGTGAACCATATGCTCGCCCGTCTCCGCTACGTCATCAAGCTCTTCGTGCTGCATTGCCTCTATACACGTGTTTTGTAAAGAATGCTAAGCCCTACGAGAATATACACGAAACCTACTACGTCGCCCAGGACAGATCCAGCGGCAAACTCGAGTCATGACCAAACAGTTCCACTTCGAAGCCAACTTGTCTGAACAGAAACATAGTCAACATGTCCTCGGAGGAACTGCCTTAGTTGCAGTATGTCAAGCGAATTGGGAAGAGGCCATGGAATTGTTGTTGGAAGAGCAAGCTAACCCAGAACCCACCACAACACTCGGCAGTCTACCTCTACACTATCCTGCCGTCAACAACTCAGTCGATGTGCGCAAGGAATTGCTGGCGCATAAGGTGGAATCTGATATTGGGACTAACGACTGTATTGATATGACTGGGCTTGACTATACGACAAGAAGAAGCAATGAAATGTAGTGAATCTGTTGTCTGCCGAGTACCTGTACGCTGGACGGCATGAAAAGCTCGCACGAGCAGGTAGACTCACACGAGTAATATAGGAGCAGGAGATACAGCGGTAATTTTCGCCTCGTCCTGATCCACGCCAGCCCACTCTTTAAGAGGCCTCGCACACTAGACACATTCTCTCTACCCTGTTTATCCTCAACCCCTCACTCAGATTAACAAGTCTCAGCCCTGTCACACGACACATCCCACAATCTGATGAGGCTTCGAGCAGCAAGTGGGGAAGCGTGGCATGATCTCAAGGATCGTTCGATTAAGGCAGTTGCGGATCCACCCTTGCTCGCCTACGCCTGCGGAAAGGCCCGAATTATGTTGAATCCGGGGTCTTGGAACCGACGTCGATGGCGTTTACACGACCGTTGTGTCGAGGCATGTGTTGGAGGAAGGATGAGTGCTATGTCATGTTATGCAAGTACCGTCCGACTGGAGCCATAAAAAGACGGCACTGACACATGATCGTATTTCTGGTGGCCATCACAGAGAAGGTGCGCATGTGCAGATGTTGGATATTGAAAGAGAGAGTGAGGGAGGGTCGGCAACTGATGTGTTTGGTGAAGTGTCAGACCAATAGAGTTTGGACATGTGACTAGATGATTCACATTGCCGCTGCTGCTGTCAGAGAACACCTACTGCGGTGGAGAATGTCGTGAGCTCATGCAATGCGGCACGAGCCGTAGCTTGTTCTTACTGCAGTAGTGATGCTGTTGCGTCACCACGCTACATATTTCCCAACGTAGTAGATCGGCGTGGAGAAGGACAGGTTACCTATATATCTTCTCAACAATGGTCTAGAACCTGGAAGAAGGGTGTCAAGTGACAGACAGCATCGTTAACTAGAGATGCTAACTCATACCACAGCCTTCCGTGGAAGCCAAGTCGCATCTGCCAGGCTGACAGCCATCTTGTCCCCAAGATAGAACGACCCACATATACGCCTACCTCTCTTATGCACGATCTTCCGAGATTTTGCTTCACCACATATGCAATGTCTCATGTAGACGACCACTGTTCGTCATCATACCTGCTTCTTGCATCGCCAGACCGAAGATCGATTTCGGACATGCCTGAACCGAAGGGAAAGTCTTTCGCAGCATCTAAATTACCTATAGCAGATATATACGATCGCACGACTGGTAGCCGGTTGTTTTCAGGAGAAGAGAATGAGATGCATTCGGGTCGCAGACTAGGACCTTGCATGTGAAGACCTGAAGACCCGAGCATATGCACAGCCTGGAAGATGCCACTGCATTCCAGCATACTGCATTCCCTGATTAATAGGTGACGCTTTTGAGTCGCCAGTAAATTTGCACACATCCTACTGTCCTATCGTCTTTACCATTCGCTTCCATCAATATAGGTGATACTCGTTTCTCTCCATTGCACAACGATGGTAAAACTAGCCAACAACGATTCCTACTGTTACGCATGCACAAGTGTGTGAGAGTGTGTGTGTGGTACAATCGGTCCCGCCCACTTTCGCATGCAAAAGCTCCCGTGGCGACACAGCATCATCTAGTTTGGAAGGCGGAAACGAGCAAGCGCAGCGAATTATGGACGGCCTATATTGCTTGCACATTTGCATATGTCGTACAGACGGCCAGCCAGCCAGCCAGCCAGCCAGCCAACCAATCACCATCCATACTGCCTCAAGGGTTATCTGTCACGCCGGAATCGCGAAACATGGCGTTCTTCTAGATGTTGTTCTGTTATTGCTATGTTGAGTTAGGAAGAATGAGACCGTGTAGGATACTGGGAGCATATATTACGAATAGAGTGAAAGAGACTTGTTTGTGCAGATTCAATGGCGTAATAGATGGATGTGTAATGTGCGAGGCTGTACATCACTGTGCGCCGGAGACTTTGCAGGAGAGAATGCGTCGTCATGTGCCGAGCTGGCGGTGTAATGTCTTGTCCCGGAGTTGGAGTTGTTTGTGTGCAGCTTGCTGCCGGTTGCCTTCTTCCTGCAAACGCGCAGTGCCTAAAATGACTATCACTTAACAAGAGAGAGGGCGGCAATTGCGTTGTCGAAGTTGTACGAGAATGATGTGCTTGGCTAGATGATTCATTTGACGCCGAGCGTTCATTGTATCTTCTCTCGAGGACACGCTAAACTAAAACTTCTGGTATCACATACCTTCAGCCTCCCCAGCCTCGTTCGTACCACCTTCTTAGACCAATTATACAGTATCAATACTGAACGTATCCGAAGAAGCTTAATCTCTCCTCCTACTAATGCCAAAAGGGTAGCAAAGACCCACGACTGCGCTTGCCCCCTCGAGTCCCAGACAAGGACGAGTAAAGGTATAGCCGCCGAAACCAAGAATGGTTCGAAACATAAGGAAAGACTGAAACCTAAAGAGATTTGGCTGAAGAGCCACCGCTGCGTGAATCATGTCGTGATGATGAGATGATGCTCGCTTTTATCACCAGATGCAGAACCTCTGCATCCTTTTTTGTCCGCCCAAACACCAAACAGTAATCCCATTGAAGGGAAGCGCAGTGCAGACAGACCACTGTATTGCGCAAGACAAGAAAAGCCTCTCTAATAACGGTTGTATCGACAAAGGAAATTCGTGACTCTGTGATAAGAGCCGTATGGTCGTGGCTCCAATGATGGACCGAGATCTTATGTCATACAGTCGTACACTTTCGTAGAACATGCCCCTTGGGTCTAACAAACAGAAGGGGGAGTAAGAGTACAAGGGTTGTGTGCAGGATAGAAATATTAATCGCACGCAATTATCGACAAGATGAAAAGGAAAAGGATTCTCCGTTATCGCAGAATGGGGTCTAGTGGCCCCGGACACCGCCCGAGGAGCGACCGAGGAAGGTACCAGGGAACCGTAGGTCGCTTAGAAATTTGAAAAAGGCACGCTTGCGCGAAGGTGTTTTCGGTAGTAGTGCGGCCGCCTGTTGCATGGGGCCGACAATGTCCTCATCGCCGAGTTTGGGGAACTTGCCCTCGCTCTTAGGATCATGTAGCGTTGGCATCTTGCTAAGGGGTCCTGGCTCCGTGGGTGAGCTCGGGGCGAGCTCTTGACCGATAGCAGCCGCATGTGACTTGGCCAGATCGTGGTTCTTCTTCCATTCGGCATCGATTTCAGCCCACTTTTGCTCGGTAAGAAGATAGTGTCTGGATGTCACTCCGTAGTGTTCCGCAGTTCGCACTTGATGTTTTGCGTAGTTGCGCCGCGCTTGCGCCCATTCGGCAAGGTGTTCTTCAATAGACGCTGCGGTGCAGACCTCAGGGACATAAGGCTCTGGCAGGATGGTGAAGTTCGCATGGCCTAACTCCATGGCCCACTTGTCCTGTGGGTTGGCGAGCATTAGAGGGGGAATGTCGGATGAGGGGACCATGTATCCGGCATTTGGTGCTCTGATCGACGCAAAGGATGTTTTGGAAGAGAGGGGAGGAGTAGGGTAAGTGCGCATTGGTGGGGTGCCGGCTGGAGTCGGGCCCATGGATTGAGTCGTATCTGCAACTGCTGGCGACTGCAGGGGCGAAGATGCTGGTAGGTCATTGTTCCGGCAGTTCACAAGCAATGGCGGTAGTAATGGCGTCGTGGCATAGCGCTCCCGCTCCACCTCCTCGGGGTCGATTTCCATGGCATTGGCCTTGTTGACGTCGATGGCCATCGGCGTAGGCGCATCATCACTCAAATGCTCCCTGCTTGTGAGGGCTGGTGTAGAGGTTGGCGACACGTAGTCTTCTGGGAGGTCGACGGTCGAGACATGGTAAATTGAGCCAGCGAGCGATGAGGATCGAGTAGAAGGTACTCTTGAAGGGGTAGCGCTGCGTGAAACCTTGCTGAGAGTCGAGCTCCGATCGCGCACTTTGCGCGACAACGAGGGGAAACGCCTCTCGAGCTTGCCGGCGATGCTGTGCGCGGATGCTTCCAAGGACCGTCGTCGCTTGGCCAGTCGCAGTTCCGAATCGCAGGTAGTGAAGTACTCGTCCTGGGGCTCGTAGGCTCTGGATATCCTGCAGTCTTGCGCGTGGCCATAGGTACTGCCGGCGTCGCCTGGAAATGCATCAATATAGCAAACATGGGGGCATTCACATTGCAACTTACAAGAGCAACGGTACGGATCTTCGCTACCGTAGTCGTACTCACGCTCAAGAGGCTCTTCGGTAAGCTTGGGTAGCTTGCCTGAGCTGTTGGGAGGCTCGGTGGGCTCGTAGGTGGGCGGGCTCGATGACAGTGACGAAGCCGAGCTGGGAAAGCGAAAGTGACCTCGCGTGTATTGACTTGGCGTTGGCGGTGTCGAGCATTCCGAAGCCGAGTAGAAACCCGAGTCGGCATTGGAATAAATCGATGCAGTCGGGTCGTCGTACATGTTGAGTGAGCCTTTGGAAGACTTGCGGGCTGCAACAAGCTTGGGAAGCTGGAGGGGTTTAAGGTCGTGCATAGTTGTTGGTTCTTTTGGCGGTCGGGATGTGACGTGAATGGCGCGCGAGTTACCAGGATCACATACCCAAGTGCAGCCAGCACGTCGGGGTTACGGCGCGCTGCTTTGGGATGGAGAGGCGGTCGGGCGATGTTGGAGAGGATGCCACGATAGCCGACCACGTATGTACGTATGTACTGTTCGGCGTGTTTATGCTGCAGCAAAGGCGTCTCCAGGGAAAGCCAGCGCCTAATGCGGACGGCACGTGAGCGTGGGTGGGCTGCCGAGGTGGTAAAGGTGGAGATGACTGGTGCGCGAGAGTTGGTCAGACTGAATCAAGTTTTGCGAGTGCAAGCGAGAGACAGCGCAGCGATAAGGCGACGACTGAAATGGCGAGAGAGTGGCAGAAGACTGACGTGGAATTCCAAGAGAAACGGGCGGTGTTGACGGGTGTGGGATAGTAGACCACTTCTGTGTGGGCAGGCGCACGGCTTCAAGCCAAACTTTGCAACCACCTTGACTAGGCATAGCGGCTCCGGCATGTCGACTGCGTTCCGCGCGACTCAGATAGCACGGTAGACGAGGCCGTGACACTCACAGCAGCCCTGGGCAGTCTCCGTGCAGTGAGCACGCCAGGGCGCCGTCGCTTCAAGGTCCCCCAGCCTTCGAGCCGCCGTTTAGACCACAACGTCCGTGTCGCTACAGCTTGAGCACAGCAGGTGGCTTGATTCAAACCCTACTCAACAGTACGGGGCCTGCCTCGGTGTTGAATTTTTACCTGCCCAACCTAATTATGCGATATGTCGTTGGTGGAGGCGCAACAAATTATCCCTGGCTGTTCCCACTCACGCACTCCAAACTTTCTGTCGTCGTGAGAAAAGCTTCTTAGGACACGATGCAGGAACAGGCGTTGGATCACATCGTCTTCACGAGCCTTGACCGATCGCCGAGCTGTGGTGTTGAGCGGTGCCTTTGCAAAGTGCTGTACTACCAGCGCTGTGGTTGTCATCCGCTGTCTACCACTCAACTACTGTGAGCGCAACCGTGGCTGCCACTTGACAGACTCGTCTATCAGGCGGTGCGAGGGAACAGGCCTAGTTCGCCGCGCCCTTCAACCTTTCCACGTTACTTCTTGCGCCGTTCTTCTGGCCTTTTGCCGTCTCGCAGCAGTGACAGCGACAAGCATGTTCTAGCGAAGTCCATGTCGTTTCTCCCGCTTCTGTCCCGTGTCATCCCCCATGCACCGATTGGCCCATTCTGAATCGTATGAATGCATCAAGGGGGCTGTGAAAGGCGACCGTGAAAACAAACAAACACCAAAGCCTCACGATCTTCAAAACACCGACTGATCCGTAGAGTCCGTGTTTCAAACATCATGCCTCATTGACGAGTCAAGTGGTCGATCGCATCACGCTGAGACGAAACAGGGCGCGACAACATGACCTCGCGTGGGCGGTACCTGACAACATGCCGGAACTTTCCCAGACGAGGTTGGGACAACCTTTCAGCCCAGCCAAAATATCAGCAAGCCAGCGAACTTGCAGACAAATCGGGGAACTTGTTGGAAGCGCTAGACCGTTGAGCCGTTGCTGATTGGCGTTCGTACCCCTGGCGCACTATCCTCTTTTCCTTCTCCCCGGCGCCTTATTCTCGCTGGGCAAAACACCCTGTTCGCACGCTGGGCAAGCCTCACACCGCCAGCGCATTGTCTATCTAAACGTCCGCCAGTATCTTTTTGCATCATCTCCAGTGCCCTCGTCGTCACCTGCCTCACGGCTCTTGATGCTGTGTCAGCAAGGTGAAAGAGGATCGCGCGGTTTGATCGCCGTGCTGTGCCTCATGCGATCGAGCCCAGCAGAAGAAAAATCGGAGCAAGACCTTACCGTTCCAGGCTCCCGGGACCTGGCAGCATGACGAAAGGGCGAAAAAGCAGTCAGTTCCGGTCTGAGGTCGGCAGGCGCCCCGCTGTCTTCGCTCGTCTGTCTCCTTGGCCAGTCGACTGGGCGGCACGGACATGCAGAAGCGGGAGAATACCGTTGCCAGCCCACCCATCCACACCGACCGGTAACGCTCAACGTGCATGAAGAACAGCCAGTTCAGTCTTAAAGCTGACTGCGCGCGAAAGAAGCAATTCTCGCGCCGGAAAAATTTGCGTGTACCTGAGAACCACGTGGCGGCTCACATTGGAATGCGCGCGCGCTTCGTTGTCCTCCAAGCACTCTGCCATTTTCCAAATTGAACTGCTCTGCAAAGGAGGAGCGCGCAATCGTTCCGACGGCCTGTTGCAGGATTTGGTCGAGACCGGTCTGGTGTTGCTGATCTCTCAATTTCACCGGATGATTTCCTAGACTAACGTAGCACTCCACCGACCGCCGAATGCCGCGGCTTGGGCATGAAGCATGGGGGTAATAACGGATCAGAAATCCATCTACGGGGATCAGGGTAGCCAGATGCATCAAGCGAATCGGCATACCATCTCGTAGAATCTATGATGCAATAATTCTTCGTGTCAATGCTGTTGCGCGCTTTGTTCATGTCGGAAGTACGGACTATCATTGCAGCGATCTGAATGTAAGATCATGGTATTCCTACATAAAGTTGGAAGAAAAGGAAGTAAAATGTGGTCGTAAACAAGAATTTGTGTGCGCAAACTGCCGTTTTCGATTAGTCTGGAAGCCATACGCCCAACGGCGTAGAAAAGAAAAACGGCGTAGGCTAGAGCTGCGAACCCTCGCTCGGGGGACGGCCCCTCACCAACATTCTCTTTCCACCCAATCATAGCATTTCGGACTTCCCATCCACGCAGGAACGCTCGAAGAAGTATATTCAAGTCGTCATAACGGCTAGCACACGGGCGTCGGGAACGTTCCCACTCCTCACGCTTCGCGTTTGTTTCGCTCTTGCACGTCCAAATACTTGCAGATCAGACCCAGTATTTGCTCCATAGCAGTCTCTGCTCCTCGGAGCCTTCAAACTACACCATGCATGCTCCAGTCAGTCCATGTTGCATCTCTGCAGCCCAGCCGACGCGGAATGTCTTGGGTTACACGTACCTGGAAATTGGTTTTGATTATGTCTACAAATCCTTCCGAAAGCTTAGGCTCGCGATATCTGGAAGCGAAGCCACTGAATGCAGCGTGTGGCAAGATAGTACGAGATTCACGGTTCGTCTTTTAGTGGGCATCGGATGTTAGCATGAGCGTTTCCCGTGTAGTAGTGGGATTCTGAGAATCTTGGACATCCCGCACAAACAATCTCCACATCGGATAGTGTGAGAGTGAGTTTGGAGTAATGAGCAAAGTGCAGCTTCTGGCATGCACGCACGGGAGGTTGCTTAGCGGGTAAACTTACTTCTGGACCAATATTCAGTGCGCGGAACGTATCATTGTGCTCACACAGCTTTGGCGTGGCCGTGAAGAGTACGCATCGAATGGGAACTTTCAGCTTCTGCGCCAATGTAATCCACACGGCTCGTGTTTCTGGATCGGCATTGGTGTTATCTTCAACGAGTTAGCTGCGTATGCGGAATGTATTGGAGCCCCGGATCAACATAAACCTACCAATAGCTACGCTCGTGCCTTCTATGATGAGTGCAGTAGCAGCCTTTACACACTTCTCGCGCTGTTTCAAAATGTTACTCAAAGTATCGAATGGTTGCACAAGATTTGCGCAGAGACAGATCAGTCAGCAACTCACAGTCTTCAAAAAGTCTTGGTTAACGCGTCCGTAACCGAATGGCTGCAGATGTTTCCAATAAAACGATGATTTACCTGAACCGGGGCTACCGCAGAACATGACAATCTCGGGGGTTGCCGGTGGTGTAAAAGTGTTTACTGCAACTAAAGTTAGCACATCTGAAGAAGTGTGGTGTATGAGAACTTGGATATCATACTTACGTGCAGTTGTTGAGCTTTCAGCCCGCTCTTGCATGTAGGCCATCGGCTCGAAAGCCCTAACGAATGGCCGTGGATCTTCATGGCGGAAGTACTCTTCTGGAGTATGGAACGGTATACCGAGATTAGCAGCGAAATCTCTACATAGACTTGGTTATTTCTGGTTGCCAAGGCATCACTCGGGATCTTCACGAACCTGTCGACACACGAGTGGTCCTTTACGCCGCCAGCCACTGCCTCGCGACCACCAGCATCCCCAACGAATACTGAGTTCTCTAGATCGACAGATTCCGCATTCTCGATATCGTAGTCTTCTAGCAGTTCGTTCCACATCCCGGTCCTGGGCTTCCTATACTGGTCACGGCTTGTCGCAGCATATATCGATATAGGAAAGTCGAGCTGGTTGAAGACTGCTGTTACCTTGGTCTTGAAGTCCGCTAGTCGCTTCTGATCAGATTTTACGGTCTTCGGATTAGGTCTCAAACTGATGCCGCCTTGATTGCTGATGATAGCGACAAGGAAGCCGTCTGCATGCAACTCTTTCAATCGTCCTGGAACGCTACTATCCCACCACTTCCAATCGCTTGCATCACGACTGAAAGTCTTTCCAGACGCAGTTGTAATCAAGGTTGAGTCAAAGTCAAAGGCTGCTACTCTGCGCTTGCCCTGAGTGGCTGACTGCGCGCCTATGTTGAAGCGACCAACCAGCAAGCTGTCTTTGACAATCCGCCATACCATCTTCTCTGGCTCTTTCTTCGAAGCTGGTGTGAAGAAATTGGCGACTGCCTTGCCTGATTCAAGTCAGCGAATATTCCCACACCCTACGACGAGTGACGAACTTGTTGTGGCTGACTGCTGCCGCCGCTTCGGCGGAGGTGGCGACACGTCTTTGCTGTTGGAGCTTGGCCGCTTGCTTAAACCGGGTCGAATAGTCATTCTGCAGTCTGTATTGTTGCCAATACTAGTGCATGGCAATGGAAGATGATCTCTGTTGACAAAGCAATGTTTGTGAGGTTGCTCGCTTGCGCTTTCCTCGCAGCGCGGAACGCGACCTCGCGCTAGCACGTGCTTGAACTAAGCTTCCCTTACATGAGGGCGTCGCATACACGTACTGGTCACAGACGTTTCAACAAAGACGCTTTCAATATTCTTAAAGATACGGCCTACCGTTTTGAATCTACGCTGGAGGTTTATATGCAAGCTGGCCCGGATAATGCACATCAGCAGACAGCACTCGTCCTACTCATCTGGAGCCAGATGCACTGCAGAAGACCAAACCCCTCAGCGTCCTGACCCAGCGAACGGACTTGTTCCGATCCTTATCGTCTCTCTACCAAGATGATATGTTGGTTCGTTGGCACTCGCTGACACTCCTAGAGAGCTGAACTTGATACTTTGCCTCTATAGCCTTTGGATGCTGACATGACGATTCCTAGTTTAAAACCTCCCTTCCGCTTCCCATTGCTCTCTGTTAGTATGAGAGCAGTCTTCATCGAGGTCGCGCTTGGGTGGCAGGGGCTGTCGGAGCTTTGTACTTGACGCGGGGATCCAGTGCAAGTCGATCTGGCAAAGCCAGGTTCACACAGCCCTTCATTTGCGTCTGGAATCTCTTCAACTCATTCACACCTGCCTCTAGTACAGCTGCGTTGTTGAAGTCTTCGATGCGGACAGTAGCCTGGAGCGTGTAAACACCACTTGGATCAAGCAGCTTCAGCCCGTTCCATGTCGGTAGTGTGGTCTTGGGGGCCTTCTGGACATTACGTATACCGGGCTCGTGGAGGATGCGGTAGAGAAATATAACGACATTGCCGTGCACAAAACGGTAGCCTTCGACGTAGAATTCAGTCACGAACCTGCACTGTTGTTAGAGGTGAAGGCACGCATAGAGAGAAGATCTCACTGATTGGGCCCTGAGGCGATCATGAAAGCATGTGGGTCGCCAGACAGCAAGTCAGTGGTGTTGGTGAAGCGGATTGAGACACCTCTGTCCCCAGTATCTGGTACGTCTCGGAAGACAAACGACCATGCTGGCTCCTCTCCGTCTTGTACGTCAGCAGACAAGGTCTTTGTGCTCTCCTCGGGCAGGGCGTCTTCAGCTGCAAAGTCGTCTTCAGACAGCTTCTGGACCAGGCGGGTATGGTAGAGAACAACAGGAGCAGCTTGTTTGGCCTGCTTCTGCGCGACAGTCTGGGTGCCGCCGCGACGGCCAAGATTCGAGCCGGGCTCCTCCGACTCGCGCGTAGGCTTGTAGATAATGTTGCGCTCGAAAACACGTTGGGGCTGCATGGCAGCAACCCCAGCCAGAATGTTCAGCACCTGCTCATAGCGCGCAAAGGTGACCTGGCCGTAGAGGCTCAACTCGTGCATGGTGAGCAAAGTCGGGTCCGCACCGCAGTCGGAGGAGCGAATATCAATATGCAATATCCGCTGGTCAGGATGCGGAGAAGCTCGTGGGGTTCGATAAGGCGGGCGGCGTGTGCAGCGTCTCTAATTGGTGCGGGAGCAGAAAAGACAGCCGCCTGGATTGCGCGACGGGAAGCTATGGCCTGAAAAGTGAAAGAACAACTCCAAGTGTTGCGTGGAAGGCCCACAAACACCGCGCTGAACTGCCCGGCTTGCTACAAATGGCTTAGAAATACACGGCGCGCATGACTTGAACTGACAGTCGTTCGAGCGTGGCCAGAGGCCGTTGGCGTGCGGGTGGGATTAGTTTGCAATCCTCAGGGCCTCGGCGATTGCCTTGCTGCCGCCAAAAATAAGATTTATCTCCATTGTCACTTCCGGCTCCCCTCCACCACTCACCAATTCCCCAACAACTCGTCCACTGCACTTTTGTCGCCTTCTTCGCTCTTCTTGCGCAAGCAATTCATCCAAAACTCCCGTGCAAGCTTTTCACTACCTCGCGCCCCGTCGCAACCTGCACTTGATACTACCATCCGCAACCCCCGCATCACCTCATCACAAAATGAACGCAACAAGGGCTCTCGCTCATCGCCAGCCCATGATCCGCTTTCTGGGAAAGCGCAGCACCCCTCAGAGTACGTTTAACCGTCGCATCTTGCTCGCCAGCACATCTAACATGGCGTTTCAGAGGTTGACCACACCCCGCACGTCCACCCTGCTTCTCCCATGAGCGAGCTTCCCTCATCTTTCAAATCCTACCGACAGAAGGCACAACAGCACGGCCCGCTCAACCACATTCCCAGCGCCTTTGTTGGCGGCCACATTGGCGGTGCATCCGGCAGGGACCTTGGCCCCATTGAGGCAGGAAAGGGCTTGTACTTCGATCGCTCTGAGCTGCCTGCACGCTTCCAGAACCTGTCATGGACACAGGCTGAGATGGAACTGCTCGAGTCCGGTGGTGCCAGCGCGTTTGCTTAAATCCAAAAAAAAACATCATGACGCGACGTTAAGATAGAAGCCGGACGTGCCGGATGACCTGCTGTACATACTTACACACACGCGCCTCAAGGCGCACGGGAAAGGGACTGCGATGATCCGCTTTATGAGGTTTGGACACGAGAATTTGCGACAAAAGCGAGGAAGCGACAAGTACTGGGATTACTTTCGTTCTATACCCATCAAGATCGATACTCGGGATGAGATGAAGATTTGGAAGGCTGCCCTTTGGCTGGGACTGTACAAGAATCACTGTACGGGGAAACGGATTACCACATTTGTAATTCAAAACATATTCAACAAGCATTGACAACATTCACATACTCTCAAGCTCCAATTTGCACGCTTAGCTTCGTGTCGCATGCCTCCATCGTTACTTGTCTTCCACATGTAACCGATCATGAAGAATACCCCACCAAAACATCACTTACGGGCTACATGCTCCAGCGCCCCCGCGCGATCAATAGAGATGCATGAACAACGTCGTTCCTTTTGTTCGCGGCTAACCCGGAGCCCTTCGGAGACTCTTCGGAGCAATCCGCCATCCCACTTCGCCAGCTGGCAGCCTCGGCTCGCCAACACATGCCTTCCACGTGCTTTCCTATGTTAACACGTGCGCAACACGTGAGATATGTGAGATAAGGCACACTTCTTCCCACATAGCAGAGTCAAAACTTTCTTTTGACCACCGGATGAGTGCTGGTAAAACTCACACCCGGTTGCATGAATAAAAATACCTGTTCCGGTAGGTAAGCGCATGAGCTGTGGAATGCAGGCTCTTCCGGCGGTTAAAAGATGCGCCTGTTGAGTGTGGGCTGAGAGGTTAAGTTTGGGTCGGCGGGTAAACATTGTGCAGACGCGAAGGAGTGATACTGGCAGACGCTGCTGAACGGTTTGTAAGTTAGGACGTTCGATTTGCAATATGAATATCATAATGTATTGAATTCAACTGGCTTTGCCTTCCATTCCGGTCGTTTGCTGTAGTCCAGTATACATGGAAAGCCACATCTCTGTCCCGTACTTCCTGCTGATATCGACTTGGCTTGAGAGAACAAGTGTCCATCAGGCTCTGTCTGTGACATCAAGTGTACCTGGTTTGTGTGCTACATCTTTCCCCTTCTGGTCCGTAAATAGTACCTAGTCAACCAAGTCAGCATCTCAATATCTCTGTTCCACTTTCCGCAAACCATAAGAGTGTACCTTTGGTGGATGCTTTACATCTTCTGCATCAGCCTCCTCTTGGTCCATCACAATCTTGTTAACCTTTTCTTGTTGTTAATCATCCGGTAACGAAGTCGTGGAGTTGGCTCGATGAGCGCTTACGTTCCCCTCGTGCCTTCCACCCCTTGTCCTAGTATACACGTGGTCACCTTCTTCAATCTGCTCGCCACTCTTGGAGACAACATCGTTCTCGGTAGCTTGCGCCTTGATGACGGGAGTGTGAGATTCAATCTCATTGAGGGAATGGGAGAGTCGATTCGCCATATTAGATAAGTTGCTGTGATATCCGTGTTATGGGCTAAGCTCTCAAAAGAATTGTAATGCTTTTTTTCGGTTGTTGGCTGTCATCGCAAGCAATTTTCATCTCTATTCTTTATTGTTGATCGTCGTGGTGTTGGTTAATGATCATGATGATGTCATTCTTACTGGAACTTTGGAAGGAGAAGTTGCAGTAATTGCTCATCCCGAATATCCCTACATGATCGGCATCCCCAGTTTCCCGCACAACATTCTGAGACTTGGAGACGCACAAGATCCAATGCTTGGATTTGATAGACTGCACTACACTCACAAATTCCAGGCTACACAAAGAGAACTACAGTGTTCACAAATGAAACAGCCAACATGTGGAGCATGCGACAGCACGGCCACCCCATGCTAGACCCTTTCTTCCCCGGCCCTTCATGGAAATTACCAAGGGGTACACACGTCGCACACCACAGCTTGGTTCATTTTGAAACGAACTGTAAGCTTTGTTTCGACGTCGGGCCTCCAGTCGGTTTTTGGTGTGTGACTTACGGCACAGTTTCCACTGTCGAACGCAAGCCCCTATTATTGAGGGGGGAGGATGGAGTTCGGGAAGGACTGTATCTAAAGCTACGGCTGAGTCACTTACTCATGAGGTATGGTAGAGGGATGATGGCAGCAGGTGCTGAGGCGTAAGGTAGTATTTTCGGAGGCTTCGGCGTATTCTTTTTTGGAAAAAGTACGCACGGTGGCTGTAGACATGAGGCGCAGCCATATTGCCGCGGCAGCATGAGTCGGGTGCTTGCGCGTTCGTTAATAGCTCAGCTCGTATCGGTAGGGAGGGCCTCGTATTAGGCGCCTGATTGCAAGCGTGAGAAGTGGTGTACCTGAATGAAAACCTGTACAAAGAGATACGGAACGTATAGCAGTTCACAGAAGACAGAAGAGTGATTTTGAAAATTGCGCGATGCGCTATGTATTTTCTTTTGGTAGCTAGGAACCTCCAGTATCCAACTTGCATGGGTATCTAAGATGTTATCCCGTGCACCAGCCCTAAGTCTTATACAGCGAAGCGAAAGAAAAGCTGGACAAGCCTGCTATAATCAACGAGTGACAAGAAGAGTGTGGATGGACACTCTGCTTAGCAAAACATCCCCAAATATAGCATGGGATCTGCGTTGCAACAAGTAGAGCGAGATCTAGAAGAGAAAAGCTGAACAAGAACCGCAACAGAACGGTTTTCCTTCCGTATACTCCAATCACCGGCCCCTGCCTGATGCGTGAAAAATGAGTCGTAACATGGTCGTGCAAAGCGCTGACCCTGCCTGCGCTAGCGAGATATCAGAATCTTGGGTATATGGATCGTGGTATGACTGAAGTAGACGCTTAGACGATCTTCCAGTTGACGCCATTGTAACGGGTGATCTCGGTCAGGCCAAGGTCCTTCCAGACAGCATGGGAGAGATCGATGTCGTATTCGTTCACGCAGCCAGGGCAAAGATCCATGATCTTAGCGTTGGCAGTCTTGCCTTGGAACTCAATCTCAATCTCCTTTCCGCACCACGGGTTGGTTGATGCGCCGGTCATGACGTCGTGCGTGGTTCCTCCCTGGGCGTTCCAAGCGCCCTGAGCAATAGCAACGACAGGCATGTCATTGGTAAGAGCCTCACCGCAAGCGCCAGCAGCACCGGTGTTGTCGTAGATGGTGATCTCTACATCCTCGAACGACGTACCAGGGGAGGTGCCGCCGGTGGTAGGGTAGCTAGGCGCAGCGCTTGAGGGAGCAGCAGCCTGAGAGTAGACAGGCTCAGGGGCGGCAGAAGTGACTGCGGTGGTAGTTGGCTCAGGCTTGGGAGCAGGTGCTACGTAAGAGCTCTCTGGGGCTGGAGCAGGAGTAGTGGGAACGGGAGTGTAGACTGAAGTAGGAGTTTCCACAGGAGTGTAGACGCTTGAAGGCTCCTCAGGAGCAATAGGGGTGTAGGCTGGGGCAGCCTTGGAGGTGGTAGGAGCAGCCTTTGAAGGTGCAGCTGGGGGAGAGGCCACAACCGAAGAAGTAGGTGCAACTACGGCAGTGCTGGTGGTGGATGGCTTGCTGGGTTTCTCGTAGAACTCGCCAGCACTGGTAGTAGCCTGGGCAACTGGCTCGTCATCCCAGACGGTGGTGTAGACAACCACGGTCTCAGTGACGACCTCAGTCTTGTAGACGAGGGCGCGCCTGTCGAAGGGCGCAGCAACGGCGTAGGAGCCGAAAAGGAGAGAAGCGAGGACAGCAGATGCCTTCATTTTGACGATTGGTATTGTTGGATAGCTGAGAGAGTGGTGCTATAGATGTTGGTGTGAGGTTTGCAGGAAATGACTGAACCGACTAGCAGTTCAAAGGAGTGGTAAGTGAGTTGTGGGTTGTCGCGTTGACAATGGTTGGTGTCAGGAATGACAGTTGTAGACAAAAATGTCTTGAGAGAGTGAATGAATGAACAAGAAGACCTCGAGCCTGCAGAATGAGTGTTACAGGAAGAGGGAGCAGCTTGATATATAGAAAGAGTGTGGGTGATGGTGTGGGTTAGTGAGTGAAAGAAAGGTGGGCAGAGTGGGTTCGCATGGCTTTTACGCTAGGGACCGCGCTAGAACGGGCCCCTGGCAACGTGCCATCGCTTGTGCATCGCAACCTCCGCTCACCACGACGCCGTCTAGACTGTTTCTGTCATCGTGGGGCCTGCCACTCCGGGCCGGCTGCTGGTGGAACGGCGTGCCATGGCGCCCTCAACAACGCTGACCTCGTCGAGTTGCCGCCACGCTACCGCACTCATTCGTCTATGGACGCCGCTCGATCGAAATTTTCGGCACTCATCTCCACCAGGACGAACTTCAGACTTTCTTTTCTCTATGTTCATACGCTTGCAAAGGGCACTCCTACGTGCGCTGATTGTGTTCTTTTTCCTTACACTGACAATGCGCTCGTTTCCAGCTAAATATGGCCAGAGTCAAAATATCGCACCGGCTGCAGAGCTGACGGGTTTCATACTTCCGCAAGTGGCATGGCGACGGGCACATGCAGCCAATCACAATACTGTTCCTGACGATCACTGCATCGCGGAGCTCTTCGCGCCCTGTTCCGCCAGGGGCACGGCCGGAGCTGAAGCCGGTAAACGAAACATCCCTGGCACAGCGTGTCTGCGCCTCGTTCGGGCACATGTCATCACAGCAGATGAGGCACCCGCCGCCCTGATTGAGCTGTTTTGGACATCTAACACACGTGTACCGCAAGGAGTCGCGCCATGTCTTGATGGACTGACAGCAGATGGGCCAGACCGCCAGAGCTCATAGCCACTTACAGCGCACGGCGATTGTGGACACGCTCTGGTTGTTCGACTTTGCTTCTCCATTTTCACGATTGGCTGTGTGCGCTCCACTGCCTGCCAGCGCCAGCTTCGACCTGCTGTGCGCCGATTCGCGACGTGGGACCGGCTGAAGAGCCGTCACAGCGTCAATGTGACATACACTCCTGCGATTGTTTTGCCGGACCGCCTCAACGAGAGCTGTCGTTCGCTCGCTTTTCCTGCACGCTGCAAACTCCACAGCTTCTGGGCTTTATGATGATGGCATTCACAAGCCGTCAGCATGCGCTGGAAATGAATTGTGGGCCCGCTACAACTTCGGCGTTGTCTTACTGGTTCCGCGTGGCAGCCATGTGCGAGAATTTGCGCCCTGCCTTATCCACTTATCGATTGCGATACCTATCCATCTCCACAGCCATCGCATCGGGGCCTATCACATGTGTTAGGTGAACGTTCGAGTCTTGCTCTTGGGCTGCAAAAGAGTTTTCATTCATCGTTCGCTTCTCGGCAGCATTCTCCTCAAGCAACCTTGACATTCACCCGTCTTGCCCGACCGCGCGTCCTCACAGAATGCCTTAGTCACTTCTAACACACAGTTCGAGAAACTGCATTTCGTCATCGTTGACCGACTTTTCTTTTGGAGTCAACGCTTGAGGAGAACTTCCAGTTTGTCGGAGGAAGCCGCAGAACAGGAGTTGACGCTACGGTAAGTCGGATGTGCTGCTTTTTGGCTCCTATGGTTCATCAGGTTTCGCTTGAGGAAGCCTACCAAACATGTTGGATTACTGAGCACCGATGTTTGCCGCATCGTTCTAGATTCAAAACTCTTTACTCTTGCGTAGGATCGGATCTCCGTCAGTGTCCGTCATCTAGAAGTCCGGAAGAACGCTCATGTGCTGAACGACCATACGCATTGGATGTCACCCTTGGCTTGTGCTACGCTAGGATGTGTCAAGATGCTTTTGCCGTTAACCTGCAATACACCGTCATCGTTGAGACTTAAGCAACGGGTTCCCTGTCGACGATATGCGTACCAAGAACATGAGTGTAAAGCATGAAATTCCTGGTAGTCGTTTACAACGTTGGTCCAGCCGATCACCGTGTAATGGATACTTCTTCCAAGCGATCTACGATGCTTGTATGCACAGCATCTCGATCTGCTTTGCATGCTGTATACTGGCAGACTACGCTAGAACTTTGTGCGGCTAATTACCAGCAGCAAAGCATGGCGAGATACCTCGATACACAGACATCAATCCGAACTAGAAATCACATCTACTGGATGCTGGATTGCGTACATCAAAATGAGACCAGGCACATGCGATCGCAACCCTCATCGTGGCTGTGATTAAGACATTTGTAAAGGAGCATCAGGTATTCCTCGTCTGTTGACCTTCGTCATCACCTTTAGGATTCTGCAGACTTGCTTTTTTATATAGTCTACCGCTGCATGTAAGACTCAGTTTCAACCAATGCTTTGACGTAATTTCTCACCTGTTTTCGTGATGTGTCAATTTCAACTGTCGACTCTACCGATGACTGCATCTGGTTGCTGTCAGAATGCAGCAAGAGCTTCCCTAGTCTGTTAGCCACACGACTATCGGCAGTTATGTTGTGGGAAGCTGATGTTGAGAGTCAAGGCGTTCGGCTGTATGTCACATTGTGTTGACTGAAGCGAGAGCTCGTAGTTATACAACTATATGCAAGCTGTCAGCTGTTGCAGAAACGAGACATCCTAGTCTTCTCTCGTGTATCTGCACCAAATTAAGAGAAGCCTGAGGACCATGCACTACGCAGTACGTCTCTCCGCATATACATCCAAACACTCTCCTCTTATGACTCTAGATCCTTACCGACTCGCCTCTCTTCGTAGATACCATCCCTGTGAACCATCTCCCCACCATCCTATGCCTACAAGGCTTTGCAGACAGCCACATTTCTAGATGCTCGCCTTGGAAAGTCACCTCACACACTTCCATCCCTCCTTTGCCTTCCTTTCTGGTACCCTCCTGGCTCCTATGGTCAGTGTATTGGACCAGAAACCCGTAATTCATGAAGCCCGATTCTGATCAAGTTCGACACTTGCTAACGTAGCCCATCCATGGATATTGGTATGAACTTCCAACTCGCATAGTGAAGTCTTGTCTTTGCCGTTGGCTGCACACAACATAGTTTAGGCGCGTCGCACAAGCTTTGCAATTGTCACATCCTCCACAACACGTTCATCTCCGACTCTTGAGGTCAATACATTATCCTGAATGGAAAAATGTAAATGATGAGCAAAATTCCCGGCGGTGACATTATCCACCAAAAGATTAAAGACCCCTTCAACGAAGCCTGCGGATTTCAGAAAACAGTCCTTTTCGGTAGATACGTCGAACAGCGTTACGAGCTTCCTGCTGATAAGGGATTCTAAGATTTCACCGTGTGGAGAAGCTCTTCTGTCTCGCCTCAAAATTGGGCGATTGATACGAAGCAAATGAGTCTTGTATCATAACGGAGACGTTACAGCCTCGAACTGGATACTAGCATTCCGTAGGTGAATTCCAAACGTTATATGGATGGGTGGCAGACACACGCTTGTCTATACGCAAGGTGGCTGCGGCGCTAGAAGGAGATGCTTCAGGTCTGAACCTGACTTGTGATGTTGAAGGCACAATGGCAGCCCATATGGACCATTTAGAAGACGCTGCAATATCAATTGACTAAGCAGAACCGTCAAATATTATGCTTTTAAAAAACTCACCGCGGGTGCCAGTCCCATAAGACAAGAGACATGGGAATGTGAACACATGTTCTGGCTATTCGATGGTATGTGACCTCCTGAGGTCATCTTGTTCGATCTCTACTTCCATTCTCTCCTTCTAGTATCTTGCTACAGCTCCAAACACTCACCGAACACTATCCCACGGGTAATTAGTTAAACATCGATGTCGGTCGTGCAAACATCATGGACGTTTGAGTCTACACTCGGCGACTCGTGCTTGAATCACCTATCGGCGTCCTTAAACTCTGACTTTGCATGGAATTTATTCCGCTTACTGTGATTGCTGTAAGTGTACTGAGTGTTTCAATGTGACTAGCAGCAATGGTACCGAGGTTGTGATCGATCTCCGTCATTGTGAGCGTGACTTGGTGGCCAGCAACCTAGTCTGCCAGCCTCATGGACAAGCATGAGAACAATACACTACACAAGTCAGGTCCAGAATTGATTTAGGGATATAAGTAATAAATTGTTATTGATCATACTAATTGTTATACGTAAATGTTCCGATTCCACATCATGAAGTATGGTCAACCAATCCTTACTCCAGCCCAGCATGCATTGTAATATCCATCAACTAGGTACGATTCCCAAATTCAACTTGTGTTTCAAGTTTAGCCAACCTTCAAGGGGCATCCAGCGTTCTTGAACACCGGGTTCAGCTTTCCAATACCGAAATCCAGCACGGCACCAGTGATGTCAGTGACGGTACTCAGAGTGCTGGGAACAGCCATGACGCCCAGCTGGTAAAGCAAGCAAAGCAGCTGCGCCGTTGTAACATCGTTGGGTAGCTTGCCGTCGACAATAATATCGAATGGTGTGGACAAGGCATCGAAGTTGTTCGTGCCCACGTTGCCTCCGAATAGCTTGGGATACTTGAGATACTGGGCCAGAATCTCGTTGGTAACATCCATGTTGTTGTAGGGCTCGACACGCGAGAACCAATTGTCAGGAATGCGCTCGGGGACGTGACGCCAGCCACCTGGTGCAGACGAGTCTTCGACAGCTCCAAAGAAGGACTGGATACGATGTCAGAATGTGTCGCATGGTTTCAAATTTTGGGGACTTGCCTTCATTGTCGCAAGATCCGGTACGCCCTTGTCGCCGTAGCTGGGGAAGAGTTCGTAGAGGAAGGAGGCGGCTCCGTAAAGCAACAGAGACAGGGGTCCAAAGAAGAAATTGGGGTTCTGAAATCTAGCTGTAAGCTTGGGGAAACATATGGCTTGAAGGCGGGAGTTACATACCTCTTGAACAGACTCTTCGTACCGCTGGCTGCGGTATGCGGCGAGAGCATTGCGATCAAAGTTTCCACCAGAAACCTTGTCAGCGACTGCCTTCATCTCTGCGAACAGTGTGCCGTTAAAGCTGTAGTTGTCCCCGTCTGCGAGGAAGAAATCGTTACGCGTGAGCGACGAATCTGCCTCAAACTTGTTGTGGCCATCAAGACCGGGCTGGGTGCCCAGAATAGGAAGCGTCGCAGTACGAGATGTAGCATCGCAACCGATACTCAAGCGACCAGAGAGTACGTCACCACCAGCCTCGATACCAAGGACTGCGAGAAGGACAGCTAGGTCATAGCCTACGTTGTAAACATTCTGTTGGGCATCGACCAACTCCTGGAAGTTGGTTATACCATCATGGGAAAGGAAGTTGTGCTATCTCTCGTCAGCGAGAATATCGTACACATTATTGTATCGTATACTTACGTTAGCTGCAGCGTTCAGACCTGGGCATGGTCCACGAATATCGTTAGGTCCGGGAGGAGTGTAGGCGTGAGCCGTATCGCCGTCTGCTGGGACTTTGATACCACCCTTTTGGCTACCAGGTACACCGTTCTTGGCCCCAGTGTAGGTGTAAGGAGCAGTGTATGGAGCGGCACCCTTATGTACAGGGTTGAAAGGGCAGTTGGCCTGGCGTCTTTCAACAGTGCGTGCGTTTCTGAAGAGCCCAGAGTTGACACCCGGCTGGCCAGAGACCCAGGGGTAGGCGACGGCCGCCGAAGCCTGGAGAAGTATGAGAGAAAGAGTATGCATTGCAAAGAAGTAACCCTGAGATGAAGTGGAATGATTTACTCAAGATGACTTGAGAGAATGATTCCTGTCTTCGGTCGCATGTGTCTTCTACTTATAATCATTTCCCATGTTCTCCTTTATCCAACTTCTTGTTCCTCGATCATACGAATGTGGAGCGGGACCGAGGCAAGTTCCTCACGCCGTCACACCCAACATCGCCATCATGAAGTCTTGGATATCCGCCTCTCTCCATTGGTTGAGAGCTGTCTTGCCCCCCTTGTTGCACAGTGTGTAGTCGATGATCGACATATCCCGGAGTCGATCGGCGACCGTGTTGCCCAAGTTGGTTGATGCAAGGTACCTAGGAGCCAGGTCCGAAAGGGAGTTGACAAGTTGACAACCAGCACGAGACTATCGGTGCAGACCCTTGGGTAGCTTTACAAATGGAAGTGGCGTCGCGCCTGGACAGAAGGTTCGCGCCCCACGTCGGCTAGTTCACGCCTCTTGCCCGAAGTAGTTGAACATGACGATCCTTTTCCAAAAAAAGAGCCAACCATGCCCCAAGGATCCAGAGTGGTGGTTTGCGGGGAAAAGAGGTACCCAATTGCGAATGACTTATTTCCGATCTACTATGGTCATGTTGCATGCGCTCATAGGAAACGATCGGCGGCGACTACTATAATCGACAAGATACCGAGGCAGCCTCTATATTGTAACACCTATAGGCTAAGATTGAAGTTGTAAAGACGTAATTGGCGTGGGAACTGGCTGTCCTCGGTATAGTAGAAGTTGCGCTGGCTCGACATCTACCCCGGTATGTGCGTGCATGTGGAATCTGCCGGCAGGCGTAAAGGAAGTCGCCGAGAAGCCGGGTGGGACGATGATCTACAGCAGTACGTTCAACCCAGGTTTGACTATTGAATAGTGGTCCAGCTTGCAGACACATGGTAGAACTGCATAGCACTGAGAGCGACGCCAGGAGACTCCTTAATTGGAATTCCTGCTTGGTTGCTCTATGATTCTCAAATAGCGAGACCACTCAACTCACGGCCTTGCAACCCGCTATGGAGCAACGGTGTCATCTTCATCTCGGAGACCAAAAACACCAAGTGTTTCCGAACAGGTTGAAGAAATTTCATCTCGATCTAGTTTTGTCCCCTCAGTCTTGACTGACACCATCTCTAGGACCTCCAGCCTGCCGAGGCAAGTTCTCATTGTTCGCGAAACTTGCCCCCACGCTGCAGAGCATCGGACGGAGAAGGGATCAAGTTGTGCTGAACAGTTGGATAGGTTGACACCATTGAGAGCCGGCTTGAGGCGACGTAAGAGCGTAGCATGGGCTACAGAGTTGTGGCGTGGCACTGCAAATACGTCAACCTTGGATTTTCCAACGAGGCTTTCCTTGATGGAGCATGTTAATTGCCCCGAATGCAAGTTCATCGTCACAGGCAGCCCACTTGACAATTTGGAGTATACTGGGCGGTCCAGAGCATGACAGACCATCCACAGCACTCATGCAGCGATGGAGTAGAACACACTCTGGCTTCGCTAGGGTATCCATGGGGAACCATGTGCCACAACGGAAAACGCGGAATTTCACCTTGCAAGTTTCCAACACTTTCGCCTTACCAATAGAGTGCATACCGAACTCGCAGTCGCGCTGACGTCGTATAGGGAGGCACCCGAGGGGATGACGCCATATCGGAAAGTCAGAAGGGGTGAAAGCCTTTGCTCGTGTAGCAAACCCAGGGAACGCCAGAAGAGACCAAATGAAGTAAGAGAACCAAGGGCTGAGCAGCTGATAGTAGATTGTTTCCCGACTCGATCTCATGTATGCAGATCTTTCATGCCGTGCGCGATATCGGCCCCATGTCCTCCAGGAAAGACTGAGGAGCGAAACCTCAGCAGCATCTCCGCGGACTATTTCTGTGGTAAGTGTGACTAACTGAAGTGTATTGAGCTAACAGGTGTAGTATCCTCTCCACGCGTGAAGTAGTCTTTATATCCCTTAGATCTTCCTGTGTCTCAAAGTTTGACTGTATAGTCGTTTGTCTTGGATAACAATTTCCTTCTCTCCACCACTGGCAGCAGGAAACTAAGCGACAGCAGTATAGGAGTGCCAGTCACCTATCAGGAGACATTCGTGGACGAGCCTGATGGCGCGGTAATACATACGTGTTGGGTACGCAAAAAAGCGACCACGTCCAAAAAAAACCCCCCCATCCCGCACAGCAACGGCAAAAAACAAGCGCGATAGTAGTACTCTCCAGCGGGGAATTGAACCCCGGTCTCCCGCGGATTGTCAAGCAGACTAGAAGACTTGGATGACAAGCGGAAATACTGACCACTATACTACTGAAGAAGAGTTGATATCGCAGATGTGGTCGATGACAAAACAGCATGATGGAAAAATTATATCTTTAAGCCCACATACAGCCCAGCCATGGATGAAGGCATGTATCCGCTGCCCGGGAATGAAAAATACAGTTGATGTGGCGGGGATGTGGATATGTGTGGAGACTGAAGAAACTAGCGAGCGGTGAGAGCAGCATGCCTCGGCAAAAAGAAGATGCATCGATAAAAACATAGCATCTTGAGAGCTGAATGGAGCTTACTCTATTCTTTCGGGCAACGCTAATTGTAGATGATTATATACAGATCGCGATGGAGAAAAGGACGCCAGTCATGCGGATGGTATCGAGCGCCAACATGATGCAAGTCGAGTCGAGTCGACTCGTATGCGCCGCGCGCCGATTAGGATGGTACAATATACGAGTGGTGTGTACGAATCGGACATGACAGGTCCTTCAATTACACTATAGCTGTAGGCGCGTATCTACACGCTTATTTGTTGACCTTGGATTCACGGCCTACGACGGGGTTGTGGCCGCTTGGGAACTTGCTGTCCGACTGCAGGAGCTCATCGGGTTTATCTGCAAACAATTCATTTAGCCTAATCCCAAATGCAAAGAGGTTTGCACAAGCTTCCTCATCGGAGGTTGACATACCATGACGAGCGTAGAGGTGGTAGTCCTCATCTGTGTACTTGCCCACGTGGCCACTCTCTACATCCTTGCGGGTGAGCGAGAGCTTGTTCTTGGGCAGGCCCATGGAGCCGAGGTAAGTGATAGAGTTCTTCCACTCGACCTCCTTACGCTTGTTGTCCCACTTTAGCTCCTCGCCCATGATGTCAATGACCTTGGGAAGAGCTTCGAGAGCGGCCTGAGCATTCAAGAAGGCGAGACGCATGCGGCGCGCAATCACGTCCGTAGCAGTTTGAGCATATTCGTGGCGGACGCAGTAGCGGACCTCACCGTCGATGTATGGGTATAGCTCAGCCATCTTAATGCCGCGGACAGGGAAGCGCTGCTCAGTGGGCGATGCAAGAGCTGCGACAGTCCACGCACGGTCACCGTACGCCTGGCAAAGGTATTTGGCAACGTCAGTCTCGATGCCGTAGTGCTGGATGAGGTTAATGAAGAGAGTCTTGGAGAAGCCGTGTGCACCGACAAGTCGGACACGGTGGGTTTGGCAGGTGCCGTCGAGAGGAGCTTCATCCTTAACCTCAGTTCCGCTAACGAGAGTAGGGTTCACGAGCGGCTGAGTCTTTAAGCTGTACTCCTTGATTGCCTCGTCGACTGTCTCTTCGGCCATCTGGCGGTAGGTAGTCCACTTGCCACCTGAGCAAGTCATCAGACCGGAAGGAGAGGTAGTGACCAAGTGGTTGCGGACAAGACCCTCGGTCGCACTCGCGTTGGGGTCACGGACAAGAGGACGGATACCGGACCAAGCAGCAAGCACATCGCCTCGGCGAACATTGATTTCTGGCTGAAGGTATCGCTTAACCTCCTTGAGAATCCAGTCAATCTCTTCCTCGCCAGCAACGGGGTCCCTCTTGATGTCACAAGCGGTGTCTGTTGTACCCGCAATGGTGTTGCCCTGCCATGGCAGGAAGAAGATGACACGACCGTCAGAAGTGTTGGGATCGATGAGACCCATGTTTGCAGGGCTGTAGTAGCCAGGAAGGATGACGTGAACACCAGAGCTAGGGGCGACAATTTCAGGCACCTCCTGGTCGTCCATTTTGCGGATGGAGTCGGTGAAGGGACCGGTAGCATTGATGATTCCCTTGGCCTTGATCGAGAACTCTTCAGCCTTCTTGCCGTCGCGCTCAGCGATGCAATCCTTGGCCTTTGCTCCGCACAGACGACCGTTAGCATCCTTCTCGAGGCTGGTGACCTCGAGATGGTTGACGACAGTTGCGCCGTATAGCGCAGCAGTCATTGCGATGGAAACGTTCATGCGAGAGTCGTTGTGCGCACCATCTGATGAAGTCAGTTGCTGCAACGGATCAAGTGACTGCTGAGCTTACCGTAGTAGACCAGGGCGCCAACAAGGCCTTCCTTCTTCAACATGGGGAATGCGTCCAGAGCCTTGCTCTTGGTCATGTAATATGAGCTCTCAATGTTCTCTGAACCGGCAAGGAAATCATAGAACTTGGTACCAGCCCAGAAGTAAGGCGCTTGCCACCACTTCTGGATAGGAATCATAATTGGCAGCCATTGTGACAGGTGAGGAGCGGTATCTAAGAAGTAACGACGCTCGCGAAGAGCTTCGACGACGAGAGCGTATCTAAGCTTCAGGTTAGATATTGCAGGATTAACTTTCTTGAGCTACTCACTGGTTGTAGTCCAGGTTCCAGACAGCCTTTTCTAGGTATCGTACACCGCCGTGTACCAGCTTTGTGCTCTTACTGCTGGTACCACTGCTGAAGTCGTCGCGCTCGACGAGCGCAACCTTGAGACCTCTTGTAACAGCGTCGAGCGCAATACCGGCTCCCGTCGCGCCACCACCAATGACCAACAGGTCGTATGGCTCTTCTTCCGCCTTTTCGGCTGGAGTTGGCGTAGAGCCGCCGCCCAGCCACTTCTTTGCCTTCTCTGCGACCTGCGAGACGACGCCAGCGCTGCGCTTCAATTGTGCGATCTGCTCTTCGCGGCTCTTGGCAGAGGGGAACTGTGGCGGTCGGAAGACACCTCCCTCGCCATATGTGGGTGGTGGGACTGCGGCGGCTTCTGAGCCAGGGATATCGCGAGGTCGTAGGGTAGTGTATAGGGCGGCGGTACCGACTGCTCCAACACCAGCTGTATAGAGCAGCGGCTTGATGAAGCGGCTTCCTCGTCGGGCAGCCATGATGAGTTATGGATGGGTATAAGTCTCTGGAGATGCAGTCGCTCCAGGCGGTGTTCGTATAATGTACAAAGGGTCGATAAAAGTGCTACAAAGATCTGCTGAGGCTCGAGCCTGTGAACGTCAGGCGCGGCCGCGCAACGGAGCTGGGGAATTGAGGAATGCGGATGGGGATTACTCACCTCGAAAAAGGGTTACAATGGCATGGGGAACATGGCATTCAAGGGAGTAGGAGTTTTTCCGATGGCGACCTAGTTGTTAAGAACAGCTAAAACTTTGTAGGGCAGGATGACGAAAATGGTGGAGCGACGTGACGCGACTCCACTTGTACAGGGTCGGCTTGCAATCGCCCGGATAGGATCCGTCTCTGCCGTCAAAGGCGCCGAGATGAAGCAGCGGGGTCGTGTAGATACGTCTGGAAGCCGCACGTGGCTGACAATTCTCTTCGCGGCCGCGCAGCTTCCAAATCTCGAGCAAACTCAAGAAACCGAACGGTGGCAGAGTTGTGAAATGACAACTAGCGCGGAACCTCTCTTCCGGCCCCCATCACGATTTGGCGGAGATAGCCACTGCCCATGGAGTGAAATGCCAAGAAGACCCACGCAAGTGGGGCAGCAGAGCCTCATGATGATCTCATGCCATGTGGAGTCAAGCTTGCAGCTGATACTGCATGTGTCCATGGTATTGATTCTTGTTGAGTATTGATGTGACGATCTCCTCCTGGTCGCCTTATCTCTTGCCGCACATGACAGTATATCCAAAGAATGGTTGCATGGCCGGATATGCAACGTGTTTAATGTTGTTGATGTCGCTTGTAAACACGTGGAGAAAGGGTCCGCGTTGACTACGTTCTCAACATTTCTATATTTCTCGATAAGGACCGTATATGACCCAAGTCGGTTTGGTGCAAGACTGTTGCTCAAGGACAGTTTCAAACTTCTAGTCTGCCAGACGGTCATGCGCAAAGTATGATCGATGCGACAGTATGCCTTGGAGAGTTGGCGAGTCATGTTTGTAATACCGCGCGGATCGCTTTACCATACACGACGTGATTGTGACATAGAAACAGTGGCCAAAGTAGCAGTTGGCAGCATCATGTTTATTTGGAGCAACATCTAAATCCAGCAAGTCTTATGTAACTTCGTTGATGAAACGACTTCTCATAGCGGTCGCAAATGTCATGAAAGGGGATCGTAAGTATTGTTTCTCTCTGCAGACTCGTGGCTGCCCAAATGCTCGGCAGCTGGGCGTTCTGGACGCCGGTG